CCAAAAGATTGATAGGAAAAGTACCAGTAAACCGCTACAGCCATCAGAAGATCTAAAAAATACATTTAAAATCAATATTCCAAATATTATTTATTAAATTTTTTTAATTTTAAATTTTTTGGGATATTCTTCCAGGAATTGGGATCTTAAAGCTTAATTAAACTATATGTATACAAGCATCTGAATAATTTTAAAAAATACAGCTACAAATAATATTTAAAACACAACTATAAACCTTTTCAAAACAATTTTTGGCGATCAAAAGTGTACAAATTCAAAACAATTTTGGATGATCAAAATGTGTAGAAAAACAAAGTTTCCAAAGTTTTAAAAATCAAAACTAAATTATTGGATCGCTCTTTATGATCTTATCTTAAAACTTAAGTCAACTAAACCAAACCTTACAAATATCTAAAGAATATAAATTCATTTCCTAAATCACTAATATAAACTTTTTAAAAGCATATATCCGCCGATAAAAATTTGTAAGAAAATAAATATTCCCAAGTTCTGCAAATCAAATCTCAGCTTTTAAATCGCCACTATTAAAGTTCCTATATTAAAAATTTTAAATTAATTAAGGTGGGGAATGCCCACAGGAATTACCAACTAAAAATTGAAGTTGACTATAAATATATCACATCCAAAGAATTAACGGGAAAAGTACCAGCAAAACACTATCAGAAATTTGAAAAAGTGAATATTTATAACACTACCATAGGCTTATAAAACAACAATTTTTGTCGTTCAAAAAGTATACGAAAATATTACTATTACATCGCAATTTATTAAAGTTTATAATATGGGACATTCTTCCAGGAAATCTTAAGATTATTTAAAAGATTAAATAAACTATAAATGTATAAGCCTCTGAGAAATTAAAAAAAAACTGAAATCAGTGTTTAAAACACCGCTATAAACCTTACAAACAAAATTCTAATTGAAAAAAACTTAATTCATTCCTTAAATCACTAATATAAACATGCTTAAAAACATACCTCAGCCGATAAAAATATGTACGAAAATATTTATTCCCAAGTTCTGAAAATCAAATCGCAGCTATTAGATCTCCGTTTACTAAAGTTCTTATTTCCTAATTTTAAATAAATTTCTTTATATGGGATATTCTTTATCTTAAAGTGAAATTCATCTCTAAATATATCACAGCCTACAGAAAGAGGAAAAACTTAAAACATCTAACAAATTAAAAAGAGGAGCTAAATTTTAAATTTTTAAACTCTACCATAAACATTTCAAAAACATTTATTAAGGCTTTATTAAACTTATTAAAATTCACCAAATTATAAAATCCATTGGTTCCCAAAAACATTTTAAATTAGAAAAAATGATCTTTATTACCTAATTTTAATTCAAAAAATATCTGAAATATATTCATATTTTATCATACAGTTTCCCAGGATATCCATTGCCCATTCCATTTTAAGCTATAATATAATTCAGAGAGAATTTTAGGCCCAACCACTGTCATAATCGTTTTACCCCCAAACTCCTAAATATATAAATCGGTCAATCTGTCATCAAAAACACTTAATGAAATCCATTTAAGCAATTAAAAAACTGCTTAAATTGGCCAGGAATAAATTAAAACCGCCTTTAGGGGCGTTACAAGTTTATAAAAAACGAAATAAACTATTATGAAATTCAAAATTTGACATAATTTACGCCTGCGTAACAGGGAATAGTGTAGTTCGGTGGCAAGAAGAGCCAAATCCAGGACGTTCATTGGTCGCCTGTGAAAGGGAGGCCGAGCGAAAGCCGAACTCCTGTCGTTTGCATAACACGCATACGCCGCATAGGCCCAAAGGATAAAAGCCGCCGACAACGAGGGATGTTGCTTCCTTGTTGGCTTCCGCTCGGTTCGCGAAGGCACTTCGTTCGTTTCGCCTGCCAACTAGCAGCTTTTGCCAGGATCACAAGGATACAACGTCAGCGCCTGGACAACCGTAGTGCAGTTCCGGTGCGGCTCTCACACCGTGCAGACGTGTTGGCCTGCCTAGAAAAATAACTTTTATTGTGATTCCCAGATTTGTGTTTTACCCTTTTGGCTAAGTTTTTGGTTTTATATAAGAGCTCCAAAACGGACACTTATATAATTTTGATTGTTGCTCAGAAAGCCCTTATTATTTAACAGTCGGCTTTCGAGCAATAATTGAAACCAAATAAGTGATCCCTACAACGTTTGTGATTTAAATACATTCTGTGATGGTAAGTGAGCTTTGTTTCTGTTTATTATATAATATAAGGTAGAATCTAAATAAATTCAGACAAAAAGACAATATTTTAAATAATAATTTGTTCTTTAAAGTTATTTCATCAAAACGATTATTTTTAACTAATTAAGAATAAAAACCACAATTTTCAAACCATAATCATGTTCAGCAGTTTGAAGCTTAGAAATATCTGTTTAGCCTTTTTCTGGGTATTTTTGATATTATTGCAATAAAATAACTATTAAATTAAGAACATCTTTGATCAGGATCTCATTTTTAAAAAAAAGGTTGGTAGGTACACTAACTATTTAAAATTGGTTCTGCTCAACGTTGTTTTGCTTTATTTTATATATATTCGTATGTAGCATCTTATTTCTCAGTGTTTTTTTCTTAAAAATATCTTTAAAATATTTTATCGAAATTTTGAAGTGAAACTTAATCATTCAGAAGTTCATAAACTAATTAGCAAAATTTTAAATTTAAATGGAGATATTAAGATAAATAGGAGGAGCTTAAGTAATGATATTTCTTTTAAAATAAGAATTTAAAAGTTGGAAGTTTATTAACCAGAGGATTCATAAATAAACAGAGCCGTTGAATTAAAAAAAAACAAGAATTAGAAGAATAGAATTTCCATGACTGACATTAATTTAAATTGTTAACTTCAAGACTTCAATTTAATTTCTTTAAAAACAAAAGTATCTTAGTAATGGCCACACATTCAAACTTAGATTTAATCTAAAATATTCAGCACCCACTCAATATAATCCCTCGTAAACATGCAGTTTAATGGGTTCACTGTGCCCCAAAACATTTCCTATAGCCCTAAGCACACCCGCATTAATGAGCAACCAAAGACTTCCCCCTTGCAATTAGTCACCAAAGAGCAGCGTCGTTGAACTTCGTGGAAATAAAAACAAAAGTGAAGCAAAAACAATTGTCAAACAAAAGTACCAAAAATCGAAACGACCTTCACATTGAATGCGCCCAAGTTTTGCCCAAAATCAGGTGTCAATGCACTTGAAACTTGTTTCTCTAGAGCCCCGTACTCGTGTTTGTTATTATTATTTATATTTGGTATCTCGGCTGTCAACGGCAGACAATGGATAGTGTGTTTTTATGGGCGATTTGTTTTGTGAATTAGCATTTAGTGCGAAACAGAATAGCAACAAACTGCCGCGACCAATGAACTCGGATGGGATGGTAGCTGGTTTTCGGTTAAGGAACCAAAGTCAAGAAATCAATTAGTATTCAAGCGTATTTGCGTGATCTACTGAACTGATTTGTCTGCTCTGACTGAGAATCGAGATTTCAGATAATGAATTATGTATGGCTTCGTATGGAGATTTGTCATATACTTTTTTCGTCTTAACTTTCAGTTTCAATTCCTGTTTGCTCATTTTAATTCCTTATCCATATTCTGACTCTATTATTATAAAACTGTCAGAGAATTGCACTTCCACCTGCATTTATTGTTCTTATTAAAACGAGATATAAATCGACCTTTCCGTGTCACCAATTGCATTGAGTGAGTGGGCCACCATAGCGTTAATTTTAAGGGCAATGTTAATGTCAAAGCGGCTAGCTAATATTACATTGATTGTACCGACATTGAATTTCAATTAATTTTTGGTCCCCTCACAATATTCATATGCAACGCAGACATCTTCATTTGCATAATAGGCCCGATGATTGCCAAGTCCAAGCTGGTGGAAATATGACGACTAAGGTTACCTGCAATGTGAGAACTGAAATTATGCCAAATGCAGGCAATGACAAAACTGTAACAATTAACGAAGGTCTAGGAAATTTTTTTGTTTTATAGATATTTAATCATGCAAGTATTATTTAAAATAATTTAAAACTGTTTAACAGCACAGTAAGATCTTCTTATATCTCAACATAAATAATTCTTGGTTGTTTAAAAATTTTGCTAGTTCAGCTCTCATAACTTGACATAGAAGTTTATGTAAAAATCAAAGTATTATGTAAAATGAAAATCAGCGATAATTCTTATAATTGCTTTACAATTATTTCAGTATTTTATAAGCAGGGTACAGCCGGGTAAGGATTAAAAAAGTTAAGCAATCATTATGCAATGACATATCACATGATTAACACGTCATTTTACGATTGAATTGAACTTATCAATATTTATCCGCCTTGTTATTAATCATACAACAATCCCAATAGCACCTTAAATTCGTGATAATCGCATAAATACTATACTAAAATACGGATGATGGGGCAATAAACTATAGAGGTGGCAACCGAAAATACAGCATAAATATTGTCACACCTTTTGTCGTACGCTATTCAATGTCATGAACTTCGTTGGGTCATAAAACGCAAAACATACAAAACTTTGTTTTCGGCTATTGTTTGCCTTTTTGATTTTGTTTTCATTTTCGTTGGCAGCTCCTTTATTTCTCCCGACGAGCCAATTGAAATGCCAAAACGTGTGCACATGACACCCACACAAAACGATGAGACAGCTAGTGCAGCGTGGAAAAAAGCTCAGAGTCTAAGGCAACAGGTGCTAAATGCCCGACTTCCGTTTGTTATCAGACCCAGAGAGCGACCGACTGAAAGAGAGAGAGGGTCCGTAGAGCTTTCCGGCTAATCCGCATAGAACACCGGACGAAAATAACCTATATACACCTATATATAAATTAATTGGCGCACAGAATTTTTGTGGCAGTTTCGTTTTAGCTTGAACCGTGCTTAACGGGTTTTTGGTGCTCAGAACTATAGTTGTGTACACAGAAAATGTTCAAAATCGTATTCGTAATCGCGATACTGTCGCTAGTGAAGTGCGGAACATCCCAAATTGCTTGTGAGTTTAACAAAAATAATCGTCCAATATTAAAAATAATTAATAATATAAATGGCTAAAATTAATTCCAATTGAAACTAACAATAATTCAACCTAATACGAGTACAGCCTAATACAACCAGCAAGTTGTTGAGATCATTTTAATTAGCTTTATGCATACCGGAAAAAAACATTTTAAATTGGCAAAATTTTTTAACAATATTATTTTTAGTAAATAAATCATTAAAAATATTTTTACAAAAATAATGATCCTTGTTTCGAAAAACAAAAATATATTGAGCACATTTTATTTTACAAACTTATATAAAATAATAAATTCAATATTGATTTTCTTCATTAACCTTCCCCCTCTTATGTTACTCACCCGAATAAACATTCCATTGACTCCCATGATAGTTACCAATCAGCCTTGCTCGGTTCGTATTCCCAAAATCGTGGGTGGCAGTGAGGCAGAACGCAATGAAATGCCCTTTATGGTCAGTCTAATGCGTCGTGGTGGTCACTTCTGTGGGGGAACAATAATATCCGAACGTTGGATCCTTACGGCTGGGCACTGCATCTGCAATGGGTTGCAGCAGTTCATGAAACCCGCTCAAATCCAAGGAGTTGTGGGCTTGCACAGCATCAAAGAGTATCTCAACGGAATTGGCAACGGACCGGATGCACTGAGGGTGGACTTCAAGAAGATTGTTCCACATCCTAAGTACGACTGCAATGATGTAAAGCATGATATAGGTATGTGCAACGAGTGTTTTGGTGAAATGACTTAAAAAGATTTAATTTTCGGACATGATCTTTTACTTTGATAAATTTATGACCTATTTCGAAATTATTTAAAATATCTTAAAGTAGTTTAAGACCTTTACGACTACTTAGTGTTATAAAAGATAGAATTGAATGAATCATTTAAGTATAAAAGTGCAGAACACCAAATGAAAGATTATATTTTAAAGTATTGAAATGGTTTATGTATTTTTGATAGTACTAAAAAAGTATTCAAGCTTCTTGAGCAAGAATAAGTAAGTTGGGTAATAGTTGAGTAATAGCTAACTAACCAACTAATTGTTGGAAAATGCTTTTTAATGGACTTCTATAGTAATTGTGTATATAAAAAAAACAAACAATACATTTGAATGGCATGCTGTATTTTTAAATTCTTTGATAAAGTTTTTTGTACGTTCTCTGTTATAGTAACTTCTAAAAACAAGACAGATGTATTCTACTATTTTGTGTAAAGTAAACGAAAACTTTTAATTAATTTCTTATAAGTTGATAATTTATCCTTGTGATGTAGCCCTTCTAGAACTGGTGCAGCCAATTCGCTTCTCCGCCCACATCCAGCCCAGCTGCGTAGGGTCTGACGAAGGACACCGAAGCTTGGAGCAGGAATACGGCACTGTTTCCGGTTGGGGTTGGACGCACGAGAACCAAGCGGAAAACGATCGGTCCGATGTACTGCGCAAAGCTACCGTTAAAATCTGGAACAACGAGGATTGCGAGAGGTCTTACAGGTCTTTGGGTAAAAGCAACACCATTGGAGAGACTCAATTGTGTGCGGGTTATGAAAACGGTCAAATTGATTCGTGTTGGGTGAGTATTCAGTTAGCTGATATAGCACAAATTTTATGCTCTGGATTCACTTACCTTTACAGGCGGATTCCGGCGGTCCGCTGATGTCCAAGGAGCATCATCTGGTTGGCGTTGTATCCACCGGAATAGGCTGCGCTCGTCCTGGCTTGCCTGGAATCTATACGCGCGTCAGTAAATACGTTTCTTGGATGCAAAAGGTGATAGCGGGCAGGAAGTAGTTGCCTAGGAAATCAAAAAAAGTTAATTGTGATTCACCTGTGATATTAGTCTTAATATATAATGTGATTTCGTCAATAAAAGTTTACTTTAACGAAACGGAATCTTTTTCCAATCCAATCCGCTATTTTTTAAATTGCAATCGATAAATTATTCTGATCTACAGCTATGGTATGGTTTCCATGTTGTTGGTAGGTATTTTCATTCTTTTTCGTCTGAATAAACGTGGTTTTTTATTTACCATATTATTTAGAAATAAAAATATTAATATTTATATATCAAGCGCATTTTCAAACATTGTTACGATATTCAAATATATCCGATATTACCGGCAGCCCTAGAAACAGTATTTTCTAAATACCCATTCAGCTTTCATATTTTTGTGGTATTTTTTGCTCTTCGCCACACGGTCAGCTGTTTATACTACAAAACAATCGCTGTTTGGAAATGGACACGGAGCTAACCAAGTAAATATCTTAAATATATATAAATAAATTTAAAAAAAAAACTTTATTATTCCAACAGCAAGGCCATTGCCGAGCTGATGCGCGAAATCGAGGCCCAGAAGTCCGGTATTCTTATCAGCCACAAGCAAAGTGAGCGAAAAGTGAATCCTTTGGGAAAACCAAACAAACGTTTTTTGGGCCGTACCATAAATACGGCTCTTCGGCATAATAAAAGAGAAAAGGAACGCACCCAGGCTAATTGTCGGCAGAAGTTACAGGATCTGGATGATATAAATGAAAGGAGAAGGTCTAACTCCTTCTACAATAGAAATTCCGGCAGGAATCGGAGTGTGGATAGGAGCAGAGACAGAAGTTCAAGCAGAAGTCGCAGCAGAAGTCGAAGCAGGAGTCGCCGGAAAAAGACAAAAAAACGACGAAGCAGAAGCAGTAGCAGCAGTTCCAGTCGCAGTCGCAGTCGTTCACATCGAAGAAAAAAACATAAAAAAAAGGCCAAGAAACACAAGAAATCCCAAAAAAGGAACCGGAAGAGCAGAAGCAGCAGTGATGATCGGAAAGTTGCGCCCAGCGAGAATATACCTATAGCCCAACCCTCGGAAATATTCCTCAACCACTCTAAGCAAATGGCTTTGGCCGTGGCTATGGCATATAGTCAAGTTTTTAGTGCAAATAGCCAAGATGAATCCAAGGAACAGCCGTCTTCCCCTCTCAGCGATATAGTTCGTGAACTGATGTCCGACGAAGAGCAGAACAACCCAGATATTCCCGATGTCCTTTCAATTTCATCCAGCGACGAAGATGAAAATGTTCTGACTATCAAAGTAAGCTCAAATTCAGAGTCCGATGGCGATTCCTCAAGCTTGGATACAGACTCAGACCTAAAGGACAGTGCTGGCAGCTGCATAAACCTAGAAGAATCTGAATCGGATAAGAACAGTGATATAGAAATAATCGCGTGCCATAAACAGCTGGAAAAGGTCAGAGCACCTCCTCAACCCAGTAACGAAAATAAGCAAGTCGGCGAATGTGCCGACCTCACCACCGTGGACCTGACTGAAGAATAAATAGGATAATGTTTAGTTAGAAAATCTATTCATCATTAACCAACATCACAGGTTATAGTTCTCCGTTAATCAATCTCTGGGAGGCAATTTGTTAGTTCTAACAAGGTTGTAAATAAATGTGGCATCAGATTGACAGATGTAAGCCAATAAGTAATTCAAAGATATTAGAATTTTGTTACAAAAATGTTTTAATATAATAAATGTATATTTTATATGAAACTGAGGAAGAAAATTGATCGAAAACTACTTGGAAGTACCTTCAGTAAGTACTTTTTAATCATATTACACCCCAATCCTCTTATAACATACATAGATATCCTTTTAATTTCAAATCGGATGATTTACTATCAATATAGTATCAATGAATAAAGTTATTAAGTTTTGATATTTATTTCCCAGTAAGCTTAAATTTCTCTTGAAATAAATTTTTGACAGTGCTCTTTTGATAGTTTAACGAAAATGATTTTTTTCGCTGCAATTTATACATATTTCAGCTTAGGCCTCTTATCAAAATATACACGCCCTTTATCTTGTATAGGGTATTAAACTGTTGCTCTCTCTGTCGATTTCTCCCACTCTCTCTCGTAACCTGCCCGAACAGCTGATTCTTTATTTACCACTTAATTTTCGATGGAAAAAAAACGAAAGCACGCAGTGAATTAGAAATTGGTTAGTTAAATAAATACATTTTCCCAGCTGAAAAATGTTTGGAAACCTGAAAAAGAAGCTAAGCAGTGCGATACAAGAGGGCCTGGTGATATCGGAGAATCTGCATCAACAATACCGCCAGCGTGTCAGTTCCGGGAAGTCGGGGAGCACCCAAACCAGTGGGATTACGACCCCTACATCCCCATTGGGTCTCAATGAGAGTCTTTCCTCGAGTAGAAGCAGTAATCTCTCTCTAAGTGCTCCCTTCCAGTTAACCGACGGAGTTCCCACTCATCTAAATGTAGCAGCGGGTTGCAGTTTGTTGGCCAAGTACGAGGACGATTGGCAGCAAATCCATGGTACCAACGAGGAGAATGCGGAGAAAGCGGCGGAGATAGCCACACAAATCTCAGGTGTTCAGAAAAATGCCAGCAATCAGCGCAAAATTATCAGTGAGCTGAACAGCAGTCTGGCAGGGATTCCCACGTTGATTTCCCAACTTCAAGCCAGTACAAAGATACTCAAGTCGCTTGAGGAAATGGGTCAGAAATTAGAGGTTGAGCTGGAAAAGCTGGAGGATCTCTGTGAGGAATGTGAGCTCCAGGAGTTCATCCTCGAGCAACAGTTTCAACTTTCGCGGCACAAGCAAAAGAAGCTTAACGAACTAGAACAGTACCGCCAGCAAATAGCCTCCAAACACCAAACTAAGATCAAGGATCAGGAGCAGAAACTATTAAAGCTGCAAAGAGAGCGCCAGGCTGTCTTTGAAGACGCGTTTCGAGGGGACATGGAGGAGTACAAACAGCATGGCCAGCTGACAAGTAAATCTCAATTCTTAAAGACCTATATAAATCTTATAAAATATTTCTTTTACAGAAATTCAAACCACCAGCAACAGGTTGGCTTTAGAAGAAGTTGTCCTTGAAGCCAACGAGGTGGAAACAAAGGATGCTCTCGAGCAATTTCTAAATGGTTAACACTTTACTTCTCGCAAAAGACTTCAGTTTGTGCCTTCAAGTGCAATAAGCAAAGTAAATTGTTTAAATATTTTAATGGGGATTCCAAAAACAAAAACCATTCATTTAAGCACTGAAAATATTGTGTAATAGTTTGCACTACAACTTAACACCAGAACAAATGTATACAAGGGAATTAGACTCCCATATTAAGAAGCAGTGCCAAAGCTTATTCATCATAAATAATGAACATTTTGAAAGTTGCAATCAAATCGAAAGCACAGGAATCCCCCTAGTATTTACAATTTACCAAGTTCATTGATGTGGCAACGCCACCCAATGTCTTGACAGCATTTTAAATGAACATTGTTTTTATTATACGTAGCTTTTTTCCCGTTTTAATAGTGTACACCTGCAGATGCCTTGTATTTGTATGAATATATTAAAATAGTCAAAACATATTTGTCAACATGTATTTAATTATGCGATGGTAAGTGCGTAGAGTGGCAACTCTGGTTAGATTCGCAACAGCTGATTGTGAATCAGTGATTAAATATCTTGATAAAATAAGAACTAACTATTCGCAGCTTACACTTGTCGCAACTTTCTTTGTGCCCAGCATTGCCCTCCAAGTTTCCGTACCCTCTCCTGGACTTTGAACTTATGGGAGCAATTGGATCCGCTTTGAGATCCCCAATTGTCGATATGTCTACCAAGCAAGCAAAATTCGTTGAAAACACTATTGCCAGCAATAAAGTGGTAATATTCAGTAAGACTTATTGCCCATACTGCACGATGGCAAAAGAAGTAAGTGGCAAGACCTTCAAAAGTCCCCAAATGAGACTAAATATTTGCTTTCCAGCCCTTCAAGAAGCTCAATGTAGATGCTACTATAATTGAACTCGATGGAAATCCCGACGGTAATGAGATTCAGGCAGTTCTGGGTGAAATCACGGGGGCCAGAACGGTACGTATAATCAATATTTTGTTTTTGTCCATTTTTCAACATATCTTTATTATCTGTTTAGGTTCCCCGCGTTTTCATCGATGGCAAATTCATTGGCGGCGGCACTGATATTAAACGAATGTTTGAAACGGGAGCTTTGCAAAAGTATTTCCAGTAAATATCCTATCGTTCAAGGTTCTGTACTTTGTGCAATGCTGCTTTTCATGTACAAAAATTAGAGAACGCTTTTCTATTTAATGTTTAAAGTCTTAAATAAATGTTGAACATATTCAATATGGGAAATAAATTGTAATTATAATTTTAAATAATTCCCTGGGTAACGGGTTATTTTAAGCTTAATTTCAGCAAGGCGTGTACATAGTGTTCCTCTCTTTAAAAATTAAAAACCCCAGCTATTTCAAGTTTTAGAAATTAAAAAGACAAATGGATTGACACCTGTTAATTAAAAGCCCTTGTAACTACGCCCATGTAAACATATGTTGGATCGTACAATCGATCTGGCAGCACTACAAGAAAACTACCACTGCAGTTAATAAATATTTACTTTTTTTAAAAAAACAAGTTCTTGACTTTCTAAGCAATGGCTGATTTAGTGAGTGGAGAAGCCTCCGAATCAGACGAGGAGTTGCAGGATAAGCACAAGGTTATTGGGAATCTCATAAATAAAAACGTTTTCATTTAATAAAATTGGAGTTTTGGCAGATCTTTGCTGCTGAAGTTCCGGGGGAAGCCAGCGAAGAAGACGATGACGATGAAAACATTTACGAACAACAACGAAGCGGCAGCCAAGTGAACAGCACGGCCTCCATTTACCGGAATAATCTGCTCCAGCGGAAACTAAGTAAGTCTTCCTATCTTCGTCCTCTATTATTTATTTAAAGAAAAATGCGTTTTTAGTTGAAAACAACATTTCCATTTGGAGATCCCTCACGGCTTTCACCCGCAGCTTCGTGATGAATGCCTCTAAGCAACTCGTCACCACTGACCAAATGCTCATAAAATCCCAGCTTAATCTTCAGTCGGCCCATACATCTGTCCAGCAGGCCCAAAAGAATGCTCAGGAACTTCAATCCCGGGTGGCTGCCGTGATGACCAGCAGTTTTCTTCCCCACATAAACATCCAGAAAGCTAGCTAAGTTAAACCTATATTATGTTTCCTCATAAACGATCAAATCTAGGCTAATCCTCTGTATCAGAATTGGGAGCATAAACCTGGGTATTTGGCGATGGCTCCCGCGGAACGAAGGTTCTCTGGAAGCACCGCGAGAAGATCGTTCGCACCTTGTTGGGCCTTTCAGGTGACTGGGGTATGGTTTCATCATCGTCGGAGAGCGTTTCCGGTGGCTTGGCTTTCTGCGAATCGTCCGTATTGAAGAAGCAAACCTCTGTGCTGTTCGGAGCCTCTGAATTAGGTGCCATGCTGGCCTCCAACGCAGCATCCGCAGCTGCTAACATGAGTGCCTCCTGTTCAGCCTCGTCTTCAATCAAAACCACTGTGTCCACCTCTGCTAAGATGCGAGGCTGTTGAACAGAAGGGGCCTCCGAGTGTCGGAACTGAAATAGGGGAGTATCGAGGCTCGTTTCCAACTGGCTCTCCTCCACTCTCCTTTTCGGCTGCACTGCAGCCGGTTCCGTAGCACTGTTCTTGCGCTTGCTGGTCCCATTTGAAAACGCAGCATTACTCTTTCGCTTCGTTACCACCTCTTGCACATCTTCATCTTGGACCGTTAACTCCCTTTGACAATAATCCTCGGAGAAGCTTACATCATCAGGTGATAGTGTGGACATGATGAGCAAACACTCAATCTCGCCATGCTTCTTAATTTTCAGTAGAAGAGGCATGCCCGCATCGTCGAACTCCAAAGTCAGTGAAGCATTTAAACACTCGCCGAAGAGCAAAAAGGCTCGGAATTCTTTGATGCAGAAAGTTATGATCGTTTCCTTGGTCACCTGATACTGGTCGAATTCACTGGGCTTAAGTTTTAGCTGTGTACGCATGAATTTATCATTCACTCGAGCGCCTTCTATGTAGTTTTTTGCCACCACACTCCCAGAGTTTGCCTCCAAGGTTAGTTCTTCCTCCGAAGAGTTAAAGTTGTTAGAGATGTCAGTGAACAGCTTGTGATCGCCACGGATTCTAAAAAATGTTAAGTAACAGGAATGGAAATTAATATCTTGGTTATCCCTGAACAAATTACAATATAGCTTTAAATTTCTAATTGGAAAATGAAAAGAATAAAAGATTAAACCTACATATTCGGCATCTGATCGGTGTTAATATTTGTGTTAATATTTTGATCATCTATGATGGATATGGTGGCCTCCTTTGTGGTCTCCAATTTGCAGCGGAGATTTACCTGCAGATTGGTTTGATTATCCAGAATGTTAAGTTCACAGTACTCCACCTGGAATGTGTAATTTATGATAACTAATCTCTATTTAAACACACTTGTTGAACCTCATTCATATTGCGGAATACAGCCAAACAACCCTTCATGGATATCTTGCAGAAAAAATCCGAATTGGGCGGCAAGTCAAACACCTCGAACATGGATCTCTTGAAGGATATACTGCCCACAGCCGATTGAGTGGCATTAATTGCCCGCATTTGTAATGCCTGCTGGTCAACCTCGATGAACATTTCCTTGCCCACCTTGGACAGCGATTGAACGGCTTTGGCAATGACTATAAAGGTGAATGCAATTAGTTTAAAGTAAGTTTTCTAGATGTTTTGACTTTTAAGAACCTCTTGCATTGCTGCCTTCTAAAGTATATTTCATTGGCAATATTTGTTTTAATTTTGGTCACGAAATTCGCGCTGAATTTTGTAAACAAAAAAACTAGAGTGGCAGTACTCGGCAGAGATAATAAGAAAAATACTAAGAAAATAAAGGTTAACTATAAAGTTAGTTAAATCACTCGATATATTTTTTTTAAATATTATTTGCTTCTGTATTATCTTCTAAGTTACCAATATATTAAATAAGGGATTTTTTTTAATAATTTTATTTAATAAAAATATGTGTTCGTGAAATACCTAACAAAGAATCGATATATTCTACATGGCTGGTCACACTGCGACAGGCCGGTCGAACGCCACATCAGTTCTAAATTTAATTAACAAAAACTGGGCTAAAACCAGCCAAAAACTGGTGAAAAGTGAAGTTACGTGGAAAGGAAAACCTAAAGTTCCTCCCTGTATTCCTTATCCGTAATGTGCGTAGTGAAAACCCAGCAATAACGAGTGGAAACAATGTTACGTGCCGTGGTTGTGTGTGTGTCAGTGGTGCTCCTAGCGCAATATACGCCGATTTCTGGAGAATCAAGTCAGAGTTATCCCATTACCACGCTGATCAATGCCAAGTGGACGCAGACTCCTTTGTACCTGGAGGTAGCCGAATATCTGGCCGATGAGCAGGCAGGTCTCTTTTGGGACTACGTTTCCGGGGTGACCAAGTTGGACACGGCTCTAAATGAATATGGTTTGTGTAAATAAATGAAGGGAAGGCTTATAAGGCTGCGATAGGAACGCTATTATTAAAAACTATGACTAAACATTACAGCAAAAACATATTTTGTATAACGAATTTTTAAAATTAATAAAAAAAAAAGTATAAAGACGATAACAATATAATTTTTTTTACTAAAACTGGCTTATTTTCGATTTATAAGCCTCATAATGTGTTTCTCCTCCTCCTCGACTTATAAGCCTTATAATGTGTTTCTCCTCCTAAAGCAAATGTTTAGTTGATAACAATTATTCATTTCAGATACGGAATCTCAGCAGTACAATGCCGCTTTGGAGCTGGTCAAAAGCCATGTCAGTGCGCCCCAGTTGCCGTTGCTCAAGCTGGTGGTCTCCATGCACAGCTTGACGCCAAGGATTCAGACCCACTTCCAGTTGGCCGAAGAGCTTAGGAGCAGTGGATCCTGTCAAGGCTTCACTTTTGCGCAGGTGGGTTCCGAACTGGCCTGCAGCTACAACGAGCTACAGAAGAAATTGGAACTGCCGCTGGCTAAGGATAGTTTGGATGCCGCTGTTGTGACCTACAGTTTTGATCACATTTTTCCAGGCAGCGAGAATAATACGCGCATTGTAGTTTTGTATAGCGATTTGGGCAGCTCCCAATTCCGGACCTATCATAAGTTACTGGAAAAAGAAGCCAACGCTGGCAAGATTCGTTACATCCTGCGTCATCAGTTAGCCAAGAAGGATAAGCGACCGGTTCGTCTCTCAGGTTATGGTGTTGAACTCCATCTGAAGTCCACGGAATACAAGAGCCAGGATGATGCTCCCAAGCCAGAAGCGGGTTCTACTTCTGATGAGGATCTGGCTAATGAATCCGATGTCCAGGGCTTTGATTTCAAGGTGCTGAAGCAGAAGCATCCTACACTCAAAAGAGCTCTGGATCAACTGCGTCAGAGGCTTCTTCAAGGAAACGATGAGATCGCTCAACTGAAAGCCTGGGAGTTCCAGGACTTGGGTCTTCAGGCCGCTGCTGCCATAGCTGAAATCCAAGGGGATGAAACTCTGCAGATTCTACAATATACTGCCCATAATTTTCCCATGTTGGCCAGAACCCTGTTGGCCCACAAAGTTACGGATGGCCTGAGGGCAGAAGTCAAGCACAATACGGAAGCATTTGGTAGAAGCTTGAATGTTGCACCACCTGATGGTGCCCTCTTTATCAACGGACTGTTCTTCGACGCGGACACCATGGATCTCTATTCACTAATTGAGACTTTGCGCTCTGAGATGCGTGTTCTCGAAAGCCTGCACAGCAATAATGTGAGAGGTAACCTGGCGAGTTCTCTGCTCGCTCTGGATCTCACTGCCTCTAGCAAAAAGGAATTCGCTATCGATATCCGCGACACTGCTGTGCAGTGGGTAAACGATATTGAAAACGATGCACAGTACAGGAGGTGGCCCTCGTCCGTGATGGATCTTCTGCGTCCAACGTTTCCTGGCATGCTGAGGAATATTCGAAAGAATGTGTTCAACTTGGTTTTGGTAGTGGATGCCCTGCAGCCCGCAGCCAGAAGTGTTATTAAGCTGTCTGAATCATTTGTCATTCATCAAGCTCCCATTCGATTGGGTTTGGTCTTCAATGCAGGGGATGCCAACAAGGATAATATTGCGGATTACATAGCCATCACTTGTGCTTTCAACTATGTGACTCAAAAGAAAGATGCTCGTTCTGCCTTGAGCTTCCTCACGGACATCTATGCAGCAGTGGGTGAGACCAAAGTGGTGACGAAGAAAGATATAGTAAAGCAACTCACAAAGGAGTTCACTACCTTGAGCTATGACAAGGCAGAGGAGTTCCTGGAGGAAGATTCGACCTACGACTACGGCAGGGAGCTGGCAGCGGAGTTCATTCAGCGATTGGGTTTCGGCGACAAGGGACAACCGCAGGCTTTGCTTAACGGTGTTCCAATGCCCACTAACGTTGTTACCGCAGATAGTGACTTCGAAGAGGCCATTTTCACCGAGATTATGACCCATACCACCAATCTGCAAAAGGCTGTTTACAAAGGTGAAATGACGGACAGCGATGTGGCCATAGATTACTTGATGAACCAGCCCCACGTGATGCCTAGATTGAATCAGAGGATTCTTAGCCAAGAGGACGTGAAATATCTGGATGTTAATGGCGTGGCCTACAAGAATCTTGGCAACGTAGGTGTTTTAAATCGTCTGTCAAATCGTGATATGACCGCCACATTAATGGACAATCTTAAATACTTTGGAGGCAAGAAGTCTACGGAATTAATTGGTCGATCAAAGCTGCAGTTCCTTACGATTTGGGTATTTGCGGATCTAGAGACCGAACCGGGTCGTTCCCTGCTAACTCACGCTTTAGAATATGTACAAAGCGGAGAAAGTGTCCGTCTTGCATTTATTCCGAACACTGAAAGCTCATCCATATCAGACAAGAAGAATCTGAATCGTCTGGTCTGGGCTGCCATGCAGAGTCTTACGCCAACTGAAGCCACGGATCAGGTTCTCAAGTGGCTGAAGAAACCAAAGGAAAATATTGAGATACCCTCTCAGCTGGAGGATATTCTTGGTTCTACAGAATTGCACTTAAAAATGTTGAGGGTGTATTCCCAGCGTGTTCTGGGTCTAAATAAATCTCAGCGTTTGGTTATCGGTAATGGCCGGCTTTATGGACCTCTGAGCTCGGAAGAAACCTTCGATAGTGCTGATTTCGCTTTGCTGGCCAGATTTAGTTCAATGCAATACGGTGATAAGGTGCGTCAGGTCTTAAAGGAATCCGCTCAAGATGTCAGCGAGGAATTCACAAGCGATACGTTGCTCAAGCTTTATGCAAGTTTGCTGCCCAGGCAAACTAAAACTCGTTTTAAGCTGCCCACAGACCTCAAAACTGATCACTCGGTTGTAAAACTGCCACCCAAACAGGAGAAACTCCCCCATTTTGATATAGTTGCCGTTTTGGATCCCGCCTCTCGAGCAGCCCAAAAGCTAACGCCAATACTGATTTTGCTCCGTCAGGTACTAAACTGTCAACTGAATCTGTACCTCATTCCCGTGCCCCAGCACAGCGATATGCCTGTGAAGAACTTCTACAGATATGTTGTAGAACCAGAGGTGCAATTCGAAGTGAATGGCGGAAGATCCGATGGTCCTTTGGCCAAATTCAGTGGGTTGCCTGCTAACCCTTTGCTGACCCAGCAGTTGCAGGTTCCCGAAAACTGGCTGGTTGAAGCTGTAAGAGCAGTATACGATTTGGATAACATTAAGTTGACTGATATTGGTGGACCAGTGCACAGTGAATTCGATTTGGAGTATCTTCTATTGGAAGGTCACTGCTTTGATGCAGCTAGTGGAGCTCCGCCTAGGGGACTGCAGTTGGTATTGGGTACCCAGTCTCAGCCGACTCTGGTAGATACGATAGTGATGGCGAATTTGGGTTATTTCCAATTGAAGGCCAATCCAGGAGCTTGGTCGCTACGCCTGCGTGAGGGAAAATCCGAAGATATTTATGCCATAAGTCACATTGAAGGAACAAATACCCATCACACCGCTGGATCATCTGAAGTTCAAGTTCTCATAACCTCCCTGCGATCTCATGTCGTTAAATTGAGGGTAGCCAAGAAACCTGGAATGCAGCAGGCGGAACTCCTTGCTGATGATAATGAACAGGCAGCGCAATCTGGCATTTGGAACAGTATCGCTAGCAGTTTTGGTGGAAGCAATTCTAACCAGCCAGCAGCCGATGAGGATGCTGAAACTATCAATATTTTTTCTGTGGCATCGGGACATCTCTACGAGCGTCTGCTGAGGATCATGATGGTTTCCCTGCTAAAGCACACGAAGTCGCCCGTGAAATTCTGGTTTTTGAAGAACTACCTTTCCCCACAGTTCACTGATTTTCTGCCTCATATGGCCAGCGAGTACAACTTCCAATACGAGTTGGTCCAATACAAATGGCCACGTTGGCTGCATCAGCAAACAGAAAAACAGAGGACCATTTGGGGATACAAGATTCTCTTCCTGGATGTGCTCTTCCCACTAAATGTGAGAAAAATCATTTTTGTGGATGCCGATGCCATAGTAAGAACCGATATTAAGGAACTGTATGACTTGGACCTTGGAGGAGCTCCCTATGCCTACACACCTTTCTGTGACTCGCGCAAGGAGATGGAGGGCTTCCGCTTTTGGAAGCAAGGATACTGGCGAAGCCATCTGATGGGCAGACGATACCATATTTCCGCTTTGTACGTCGTGGATTTAAAGAGATTCCGAAAGATTGCAGCTGGAGATCGACTAAGAGGTCAATACCAAGCACTCAGCCAGGATCCAAACAGTTTATCCAATCTGGATCAAGATTTGCCCAACAATATGATTCACCAGGTGGCCATTAAATCCCTGCCCGATGATTGGCTGTGGTGTCAGACATGGTGCAGCGACAGCAACTTCAAGAGTGCCAAGGTGATCGACTTGTGCAACAATCCGCAGACTAAGGAAGCAAAACTCACTGCCGCTCAGAGGATTGTGCCCGAGTGGAAGGACTATGATGCAGAGCTGAAGACCCTGATGGCTCGGATCGAGGATCACGAGAATTCGCATGGCAGAGACTCGACGGTTGATGATTCAGTTGACGATCATGTAGAGGTCACCACTGTAACGCCTTCTCATGAACCTAAGCACGGCGAGCTGTGATCAACGCGTAGTTAAATCAACATGTTTAGTGAATTTAAGTCAAATATTGATGGATACACTTTTGATTACTTAGCTAAGACCCATCCCCAGACATAACAACTAAACACATTTGTACATTTTAATTAGAACTTAATGCAATTGATATCTTAAACAACAAAACAGCTCACTAAAGTCTGAATTGTTCTATTAATTCAATTTCAAACGATTTTCTATTCTTGCATTCCAAGAGCTATGGCCACTAATTGAATTAAGATGAAACTGAATGTCATTAAACTATTACAAAAACGAGGATCCTATAAGTTGAAAAGTTTTTCAAATGTATTAAAAGTTAAAGTAAATAGTAACAAATACAATGTATTTCATTTAACATTTATTTTGGGATGGTCAGGCATCTTTAGTTAGAAAAAATTTTGTGTCTACATTTTTCCATTAGGTGGCAACGTCAGATTCAAATAGTATTAACGAAAACTCAGTATATTCTTTGTTTATTTTTCATTATTCCAAATTATATTTTCAATTCTCCTGCTTTTGTATCTACATAAAGAAACTATGTAATAATTTTAATATAATGCTGCTTTACTTTATTGTTTAGCTCTTAATATGAAATAGTGTTTTGATTTAGCAATTTATTAATAAATTTTCATTTGGTATTTGTAAGGCAGACAGTGCAGTCCAAAGAAGTGGATCTTTTCCGTATTTATCATTAAGTTTAATCTGCTTCTCGGTTGACGTTTAATTATTATTTTTTAAGTATTTTCTCAGCATTTGCGATAAACATTTCATTCTTATTAATTTAGTTTTGCGTGTCTAATATATAGTTTAAAAAGTTTGTTCTCCACTTTAGTTTTGCATCGATCGCTGAGTGTAGTATACGATAGTTAATTAAAGCTTTCATTTTATTCAATTTGCTCAATATGTTAGTTATATATGTTTTGTTTCAGACTACGCAAATGTTTTCTATTCACTTTGAACTAGATCATAAGTGTTTAAGGGAAATATATAGTTAACGTATTAGTTAGGGATCGCGTCTCGATTAAATTATATAAAAAATGCGGCTGTCATAAGGATTCTCCTTGTCAGTTTGAAATCGTGTATATTTTATATGTTTTGTATCTGTATCTGTATGTGGTGTATCTTGCGCTCCTCTTACTTGCTAAGAATTGACGAAACTACAAAATTAAACAGTTCGCTTTCGTATCTGTATCTGTAGTCTTTGTTATCATCAGTTTAAAATGGTATAGGCATATTTAAATGAATGCTTCCCAGTTTCTTGAGTTCGATTCGTTGTTGATTCTATATAGGTATTGCTTTAATCCAGGTGTTTATACATGTCCTCCAGTTGTGGCTTGAAGTAGCTCTTTAATTGCGGCCTCTTGGCTTTGAATGTTGGCGTGAGCAGTCCGTTTTGAACCGAGAAGGGATCCGGATGCAGATAGACATCTTTAACCTAAAATATTTTGTTCATTATATTTTCTACAATTATGTAACATAAAGAGATCATTAACTCACCTGTTCGAATGACTTGAGTCCACTCTGCTTGCCCCAATTGAGCATGTCGTTCATAATCAGTTCCTTGACATTCTTATTATTGCACAGGACGGAGAGTGTGCCGCGAACATTGTTCTCCGTGGCCCATTGTTTCAGTACATCGGTATCAGGTACAACAACAGCGATAATGCAGCTCTAAAAGAGTTTAGAAAATATTAATTAAATAGATTAATTATGACCTAAAAATATTTTAGCTTTAGCTGAACATAAACTTAAACAGGAATTCGTTGTTTTTTATACTTTTAGAAAATTAGTAATAAGCTAAAAATTATTATATTAAGCACTCACCTTTAAGCTCTCTCCATAGACATAAACTTGATTAACGTATTGGCTGAGTGTGTAGATATTCTCGATTTTCTCGGGCACTATATACTCGCCCTGGCTGAGCTTGAAGATGTGCTTGCGGCGATCGATGATCCTAAGCGTTCCATTTGGAAGCCACATGCCCACATCGCCGGTGTGATGCCAGCCCTCCGAGTCAATGGCTTCCGCCGTCTTCTCGGGATCCTTATAATAACTAAAAACATATGTTTATTTAATAATTAGGACTGTTAAACCTCAAAGATTTGTAGTCTACTTACCCATGGAACACATTTGATCCTCGCACGCATACCTCCCCTGTATTTTGATTGGCAAAGTACTCCATCTCTGGCACATCCACCAGTTTAACAGCGTTGCAGGACACGGGGGGTCCCACATGGTTGGGCACATGATCTCCCTGAACAGTGAGAGTTATGGCCCCCGTGCACTCCGTTTGGCCGTATCCCTCGAGGACCAAACAACCCAAGGCACAGCGCATGAAGGTAAGCACATTGCCAGCCAGTGGAGCTGAGCCTACGACCATCAGGCGCAGATTTCCGCCAAAAGCCTGATGCACCTTCTTGAAGACCAACTTGTCCCAGCAGCCGTTCCTTCGCAGGACACCCCTGGCGATCTCTTTCTCCTTGGCTCGCATAGCCATGTTGAACAGGCCTCTCTTCAATCCGGAGGCTGCGATATCATTTTGGATTTTATCGTAAACTCGATTTAGGAGACGAGGCACTGCCGGCATAACGGTTGGTTTCAACATCTTCAGGTCATTTGTAAGCTCCTTGATGTCCCCGGAGTAGAAGCCCACACTTCCGCCCACATAGTACATTCCGTTCTCGCAGCACCGTTCGAACATGTGTGCCAGGGGAAGGAAGGAAATCATAACATCGCCCGCTCGTATGCGATGGTCGCCCATCTGCAGGATCACGGAACAGACGCCGGCCACTACGTTTCCGTGGGTGAGCATCACGCCCTTCGGATTACCAGTCGTTCCGGACGTATAGCACACCGTACAAAGATCCTCTGCCGTCGGGGGAACCTCCGGATGATTGCCCTTGGCCCCCAGTTTTTCCACATCAATAAAGGAGAATATTTGTATGCCCCGACTGCGCGCACGCTCCAACGTCGTTTGACGGATGGGCTTGATGGCCACAATGATCTTTAGACTGCGTGGCGCTTTTTCGAGCAACATGGCCGCCTTGCCATCATCTTCTACGATCACAATGGCCATGTCGGTCTGACGTATGATGAAGGCACAGGCGTCGGGACCCAGGGTGTCGTACAAGGGAACCACCACTAGGGAGAACGAATAGCAGCCCTGCTCGTATAGGATCCACTCTGGTCGGTTCTGGGAGTAAATTCCGATCAACTGTTTTGGCCGGGCTCCCAGCGCCAGCATTCCAGCGCCAAAGTTTTTGGCGCGTAACAGGGCTTCGTCATAGTTGATCCACTAAAGAAATTATAAATCATTTTTAATAATATAATAAGAGAATTTCAAATATGTTTAGACTATTATTTTGAAATAATTTAAAACTACATATAATATCTTTTAAAAAACACACGAATGAAAGAAGGAACCCATTCAATATGAACAGAGCGAATATTTATTTATTTTAAAGACTTCTTCTCACCTGGTATGGGGACGTCAGGGTTTCGCGCCAACCGAGACATGGCCCATTGTTGGAGGCGTAGGCGCCCTCACGAAACGTCTGGTATAGGGTGCGGACATTCTCTGTGATGTAGGACACGAATTTTCCATTTTTCGACTCCTTGTAGAATTTAGAGACGTGTATTTGTTCTGGACCCTGCAAAGCGAGTGAGGTGACCCCAAAAGAAACAGAGAAATCGAGGTCATGCAATGAGTGAGAGACGTTGAGAGAGATATTCAATGGATACAAATATTTACAATCAAAAGATCGAAGGGGTAAGTGATTCAGATCTGATTGTAAATTGGGGTAATATATATACAAATACGATGAACATTTATGAATTGTTTGGCTTGAGGTTAAAGTTGCGAAAGAAAACCTTAAAAGGGCATGAAAAATGTCTGTATTAAATAACACCAAAAAAGCTTAAATCTCTTTTAATCCTTTTAAAAGTATATCAGTTTAAACTTAATAAATAAATATAAATATTAAAAGACTAACATTTTCCATTCTAAAGATTTTCTTCTCGATAACAGAAAGCCTTTATAGTCCATCAATTAAACCATTTCCCCTTGGGTGTATTTATTTTAAGCTACTCGCACAATAAATCACAGCCAATTGTTAGATTAAAATCAATAATCATTTAAATTTATATAGCCGATCGCTATGATGTATGGTTTATTTTGGGGCCAAACATAAACCTATCACTCGGCGGACGGGATTTCTTTTTTTGGGCGCCCCCAAAGTAAAGTAGTAGCGCCATATAGCACTTCCTTTATGGTAAACAGCTGCGAAAGAAATTACCGCAATGGCCAAATGTGTTGATGTACGAGAACGAATATCAAAATACACCACGATGGGGGAATATTTTTTAGGGGGCTAAGGGAGGTGGATCCTAAAAGTTAGTTTGTTTATTTTTTCTGGCTGATTTTAATGAGCAAAATGCAAATGTATTTTCTTAAATAATTGTTCTCCACAGATTAAAGTGCTTTCCAAATGAATTTTGTTTATATTTCATTGATGACGCAAGTCTCTAGGGAAATTGTTAATTTTAAGTGCATACCCCGAGGGGCACATGAGAAGGCATACCCTATGGTGGATATCTAGACGATGATCGTATATGATCTAGCCCACGGAAATGTAAGAGACAGTAAACAAAATAAAAGAAGCAAAATAAAGTTAATATTAGTTATTGCCTAGTTAATCTGGTGGAAGGGAGTTATTTTTGTTCTTCTTTTAGGAAAGGTTTTCCTTTTAAGTTTTACCTTGAGCACATCGCTCTGATTGGTTAGCTCGATGGGCACTCGTATACTGGTAATTTGGCCGCAACAAGACATGATTTTTTCTTAATTTTTGATATCACTTTTGGTTAACTTTATTGTTGCAGATTTTCTGACACTTTTTCGACTTGTGGCTTTCCTAATGGCTCATTCAGTTTTCACCCGGCATTTAATATGCACATTTTCCAAGCGACTGCAAAACACATACACGACTTTTAGTACTAATTACTTGACCAATTTGTATTTAACATCTGCCGTTTTATTGCCAAGGGAATCTCGCGTTTGATTTGCCCAAGGGAAGTTCTACCGTACAGATCACCATTTCATAACCGAATTAAGAACGATTTAAAGCTAATTAGCGCGCGATAAAAATACATTTTTGGTTTGCAATTGTAAGGTGTGTGGTAAGAGATTATGGCATGGTATATTGTATGTGGTAAAGTGGTTAAGTAATTCTTTTACATTTAAAATATAGCTTTCAGTGTTTTAGCTTTTTACTGATTTTCTAAGCTGCCTACCTGCATAGACCTATTTATTATAAAAAAGCTTATATCCTTGTGAAATGTTTGTGAAAATCTTAATCTTAAAATTGATCTTTTTTTAAAAATCTCCCAGATGCCGGCAAATATCTTTTTAAAACCTTTACAAAGTGCCCTCAATTGCGCTCATTTGCATCGCTTGACAGGCCCAGCGAAAAGTCGAAAACCGCAGCATAATTATGACGCCTGGCTGTCCGTTTACATATTTTTGGCAAGTGCAGCCCAGTCAATTTTGTTTATAATTTTTCAATATTGTCAGCTGCAGGGCGGTCCCACTAGGGGCTAGGAAAATACAAAGAGAGATTGGTATAAAAAGAAGCCAGAGGCAAAGAGAGAGAATGGGCAACAATATATCGACAAGGCGTCGTCTGCGGATTTTGCTTGGCCTGCCCCAAATTAATTTATAAATAGTTCGTTTGGGGGTAAAAACGTTCCACTCTGTTGTTATCTATGAGACCCGTCTGTGTGGCCGCATAAAATGAAATAAAATTAAAAGCACAAAAAAAATTTAAAACATATTTTCACACACACACACACAGACCAGAATACATTGAATAATATTTGCAAAAAAAGAAGGAAAATGAGCATTTACTAGAGGCGATCGCGAACTGAGTCATGGGGAACGCGCTTCGGGCCTCATTGGGATGTTCTGAGGCAATTGGCAGAGAGCAAACATTTTCCTCAATGAGCAATTCATCTTTGAGTTATGGTAATTGTGGTGGTCATAAAATCGGTCATAAACTTTTGGCCACAAAAAGGGCAAAAGCAGAAGAAAAGAAATGAATGAATCTAGAAGAATTTCACTTGGATCTTCAGCATATCAATAGTTTGGCAGCATATTTATTTTGTTAAAAAAAAAACAAAAGATGCCGAAAGAAAATGTGCGGGAATTTCAAGGTCGTTTAGGAAGATTTTTCATTATTTGTTTCCAGGTGGCTGGCACATTTTTTGCTAACTCGCTGATTTCATATATGTTTCTTCTCTAGTACTTAAACGCCACTAATTTCTTTATAAAATTTGTTCACAGTTCTTGTTATGTCAGGTTTATACGAAATTCTTGAACCGCTTTTGGTTAGATTGATTATAACACCAAATACTACACTTAGGCAAATGTATGTACAGTGGGTTTTCCTTCCTGACATTTAGCTTGATTGATTAAGATGGGTTGTTGGCATGTTTTACATAAATGAATTTTAAAAGAATTAAATGTTAAGGTTAGCCAAATAAATGTAGGCTTGAGGAGAACTCTTTTAATTTTAATTAGAATTTTTATACATAATCCGATAAAAAAAATATTGCTAAAGTCTGCTTTCAATTATAAAAAAGAATTGATTCTTTTTAAAGAAAAGAATGTTCCCTTTGTATTCAGTTTCAAATAAAGAGCTAATGTAATAATTTAAAATTGCTTTGCAAAAGCATTTTCGTTCAGAAGTGCACATGGCCCAAAAATTCTTTGGTACGATCAGGAAAATCTCTTTAAATATACAGAACTATAAAATTGTATTTATGAAAATTGGTAAAACACAATAAAGAATAAAAACTTCAATAAAGCTGTTTACGATAAGAAAACCAAACCAATAAAACCGCTAACATACATCAAGCCAAATTAGTATCAAAATCGTGTTAAAAATTAAGTATATAAATAATTCTGTGTGGTTGTGGGGTTTCCTTAGATGTTTTGAGTATAGAAAATGTGTGAACTTGAACTTGAGGGGCTGAGTTCACGTGGCAATGGCGACGGCACTTTGACACTTTGGCAAATCGATTTCCATTCGAAAATCTTTTAATTTTTCTTAGTTATTTTCCTTCCACTTTTTTGAACATTTATTCTCATTTTTTTTTGGTTCTTGCGCTTTACGTAATGAGATTAAACGCTTGTATTTTTGTCAATTTGTTGCAAATTGTCGTGCGTTTTTTCGCTCTTTATTTTCGTTTTATTTAGTATACACGAGCTATTATTTATAAAAAATACGTTTGTTTCATAGATATATATCTGCGATATGTACATTATGTCGCTGTTGTTGTTGCTTGTTTTTCGTTTTTTTTTTCTTTTGGGTATCTTTCTAATTTGAAATATATATTCTAGGGGTTTGAGCCCGCCACGATCTGCGCGACACGATGTTGAATTTCGAACTGAATGGCAGAAGTAAAATATTGGCCGTGGCTAAAAATGATTTTGGCCGGCCCGAGGAATCTTCTTTTGGGAGAGAAAATGAGCAGAATTGAGAGTAGAATTTTGGGGGTTTACGTGGGGATCATGAAGAAGATTGCATCGCTCGGCTAGGAATTTTATTCGTTTATATGTTCTTATTTTGATATTAAACGTTTTTCTTTTTCTCTTTGCTAGATAGTTTTGTTCTAATTTTTTGTTTTGTGACCCGCCGATCAAGTTGTCCGCCTGCCTGAATTTTCCTTTTACTACGCTACACGCGATCGAAAACGCCTTTGGGCGATATATCTTAATAGAGTGGGGGTAATACAAATATATGCTAGTGACAGCGGTTTTTCAACTCTTTAATAACCAAAATGATTTATGGTTCATAAGAGAGGGCCACGCCCACTTTTCACATTATATAAATAGAAACCGTTTGTTTACTTTTTGGTATAAAAGCTGAGAATTTTATGTATATTTTGGATTATATATGGATTATTTTTAAATAATAATTAATAATTAATTATAATTAATGATAATAACAATTAAAGAATTATATAAAAAAATGTATTATAATAACAAATATTTAAGAAAATTAAATAATTCAGTTCTAAAAGAATTACAAAACTGTTCATTTTGAAACACTAAATTTTGAATGAATGTGTAATTAATTTACTCTTCGTATGAAATCCTCAGGGCATTGCCTCATAGCTAGTATACCTGGCACGTATTTATCATTTCATTTGCACCTCCATTTGCACTCATTAGCAGGTTTAGTGTTCATATATTGGAAAACACTCTATAAAAGAGAAAGAGTGTGCCAAATACTTTGGTGCATTTTCATTTGCATTTCCACTCGCATCGCCAGACCAGACAGAACAAACACACATTATGACTAACATTAGAAAATGCATAATTTCGCATAGAACTTGTTTTACAACCGCGTACGCAAATGTACCTGCTCATATGTACGAGTAGACAGGTTGGCCCTGTCGTGTCAAAAGTCTGACATTTCCTTATTATTGTGCTGTTCGTTCATTGTTTGTTTTATGACGAATTTGTTAAATTTTTAAGTTTTTAGTGTATGCATATAGGGGTACAAATTCTAAGAAGCTGAAATAAATTAATAAAATGTAAAGTATTCAAGGCTTAGGATTGTTCTTATTTGTAAATAAATTGTAGAACACTGTTCAATTTAGTTACAATTACAGAAGAAAATTATTTTTGAAATAATTTGAAACTGATTTGAACCAGTTCTAACCGCAAAAATGTCATATTTTAAAAGTGAAATACTGAATATTAAAACTAATTTGGAATGTATCAAATAAATATAAATATAAATAAATAAATAATCCAAAAGTATAAACCTTACATTTAGTATATTTGTAACTTATGTACACTCATTTTAAGAGCTGCCATATTTAGTTGATTTTTTTACATTTCTAAGAATACTGAGGATAGGATATAAAGTGACGTTATCACAACTTTATTATAAGTAATACCTATACACTTTTCAAATTATTAATTATATTACTGTAAGCCCACTGTTCCCTACCTTTACTCTGTACCCATACTAGAACCTTAACTATTGCTTTTTCCAAAAAATATAGGAACTATATAAATGAGCTCTTTAATCTATATATTTTTATTAAACTCAACGAAAATTCATTTTAGTAACCAACTAACTCATTGTTTTCCACTGTGTCACAAACCTTTAACCCCTCGAAAATATGTTCTTTGCCATTTTGGCAATGCCAAATACCGCGAGAAATATGGTATTGTGTCAATATTTGTTTATTTACATGACATCAACACAAAAGGAAAGGTCCGTTGCACCAACACCAACTGAGAGGAAAACGCGTGAGGCAAATGCCGGCGAGTGTCAGTTGGAGGAAATGCCTCTGACATTCATGTGGCGTTTGTGGGAGGGGGTACGAAATATTTGCATAGATCGAAATTAAGAGAACCAGGCGACTAATTAGGGGAAAATGCCAATTGAGCCATGACAAGATTTATTATTGTCGTGCCGCTGTCATTTGATAATTTATCAGCGAGAATGTTGCAGTCTTGGCAACAGGAATTTCACTGCCCGCCACTCAATTAGAGCGTGAGGTGTGGTGCATCCATTTTGATTGGTTTTTGAACCACTGTGCCAAAGACGTCATGGCTAAAAGTCGAAGAATAAAGGCAAACAAAGGCGAAATGAAAATCGAAATGGTGAAAATGTGTGAAAATCATGTGACGACAACAACGAAGCAGAATCAGTTTTTGGGAATCCGAATCGTGATCGCACTCAACGTGATTGTGGACATGTGCACATCAAAGCTTTTTTCTTGGCCCATATGATACGGCATTTGGATTCGCCTGGTCTACCTCAAATAGAACCAAACCTTAGAAAATCAGAATGAGAAGAAGAAAAACAGCTAGCAGCAAAAGAAAACAGAAAACTTAAGACAAACAATTCCCAAATTGAATATTCAATGATGTAATTGATGAGATCGAAGTCGATCAATTGCGAAATCATCATACCTCTAGCAGCGGGGATTGGTTTTCCAGAGGCACTAACGGTCGTTCCGGTACGGGTCTCGTAGCAAAATAGTATGCAATACTGGCTGCCAGGCTTCCTAGGGTCACGGTTCCCAGAGTGCCGCCCAGATAGTACAGATAGCCATCAATTTCATCCCCTAAAAATGAATTATACAGATAAGTATAGAAACTATAAAAAAGATATTAAAATTACATTAAAAATAATAATCTTTAAATAGAAATAGACAAGGTTAATTCTGTATATTTATTTTAGGAATATGACAAAAATGTGTACTGTATTATATATGGTGGATACTCTACTTATTATTACGATACAAATTTTAATATTTAATGTTAATGTGTGTCATAAAAACTCGTATATTTTCCATTTACATTACTTTTATGTTTGAAAACAAAAAACGTAATAACCCTTGCCAAACAATACTTACAGAAATATGAAAAATTGCTGACTATCAAATGATTGACGTAGGCCATAACTGATTTCTCCGGCGTCATCGTTTTCGTTCCTTACTTATATTATTGTTTTTTATTGTTTGTTGTAGTTTATAGTTGTTTTTGCTACCTGAGTGAATGTTACGTGTTTAGCTTAATGATTGCCCGCAAAAGACAGCCTGCAAAAAAAATCAATAAAAGTGCACACATTAGTTAAAAGTTCTACATTAAAGGTGTATAATTGCAGGTTTTTTGGGAAACATTGCACTTGGATAGAGGACTTAATAAGACATCTCGGTTCTCATGCCAACCGAGTGCAATCAAGCTGAACCAGAGGGCAAAACCGCAACATACGAATACCATTCATTTTCCGCCTAATTAGAGGGTAATCCATATGCACAGTTTTACCTATATTCCTCTTTATGGATCGGTAATTGCCATTGGCCCCTTGGCAAGTCAAGTGACAACAATAAAAATGCGTTCAATTCAGGATAATTATTTAAATTGGACAGCAGTTGCTCGGTTTTCGGGATAGATTCAGCTGACTAGATATGGGAAGCAATGTCTAAATTTAAAAAAATGTCCCAAAGTCCAGTGGTCAATGTCTAAATATGATGTCTCATATATTTTAAATACTTTAAAATGATGAAATGTACCTATAAACAGCGATTTATGTTAGACAGACCTGCACTTGTCCATCAACCGAACGATTATGGCTTTATCTGCTTTGTTTTTAATGCTTCTTATCAGTCTCTGAAACAAAAAGCCTTAAAAAACTGCAACTGTAATACGAACAATAAAGCTATTAAGATTTGAGTTGGCAATGAAGGTGCTCTAATGCGCTTTATTATTATTATTATATATATTATATATATATATATTATTGTCTTTTCGTTTTTCATATTTCCATTAAGGCAAGTTGTTTTATTTTGACCCCAAAAATCTTGACAATTACTTTTAATAATCGCCATGAATATATAAGTTCGAAAGGTTAACATTTAACTTTAAAGGGCTTTATCTAAAAAGGTCACTTTAACACGTTTGAACATATTTTATTAGACATATTGAAAATTGTGTTCAAAAAGTCATATTTTGGTTTCTAGGCTAGTAAATGTTTATAATTTTTAAGTTAAAAAATTCAAAATATTTAAATCTTTTTTTATATTTGAAAACTTTATATCCTTAAATTAAAAAAAGTATATAAATATGTTTGAACTCGCTTCCGCTTATTTCCTGACATTGATTTGTAATTATTCTTAACCTTCAGTATAAACATTTGCCGTAAACTGCATTCTAACAAAACGGGTTTCTCAAGATAGCATATTCAATTTTAGTATTTCCCATTTATTAAGGCTAAGATATTGAACCACATTACAAATTTAAATGGAATTCCCTACAATCCGAGGGAGAGTAACCTAAACTGGTTTTGAAATGCATGTGACTTTAACACATATGTTTTGCTGATTGAGAATGTTCTCAGTCTATTTGCAAAGTGAAGTGAATATAATTAACATAATAAATTGTTATTCAATGGGAAGTTGACAAGCTTTGGTATTAATTTGTACGGTATTTTGCGGAATTTCCTACTCAAGAGGTGAGTAGTACTTGTTACTTATAACAACGTCTTTCAATTTCCATGACAGAAATGATAAATGTTGGATACCATTCATACAAAGGATAAGTTGATACCGAATATTGGATAATTGGATATTTCATTTACTAAGTTAAATGCAGTCAGGGAAATATTCTTGGCAACAGTGTGAATTTTTAATCCGCTTTGGTTTGCCATTTCTGCGATTTGTACACTGCTCTGTGCGAATGCAAACGCAAACGCCATAGTGCCACCGAGCAGACCGACCCACTTCACCCACATAAACACAAGAGGCCAGTGGAGCGCATCCCAAGCCTTGGGACTGGTGATAAGGCATGGGGCAGCAGAGGAACAGCCAGAACAGGGAAACCTTTATCAGTCCGGGAGTGAAACTTTGCACCCAGACATCTGGTCGAGGCCCTCTCACTAAGCAGATTATTCGTCTTTGGACAATGCAGACTGACGGCCCAAAAACAAGTGCAAACATGTAGGCTCCAGGCTAAAATAATACCCAATCAGTGTTTTGATATATATACGAGTATACTATACTCAGTATATGTATCTTATAGATTGGCACATTTTTAATTTTAACGTTCAAGATTTGTTTTAAATATTCTATATCTTAATAAAATATAAATTTGTAAAGTGGTTTCTATAAAACGTACTCTACAGAGGATTGTAATGAGAAGCCATTGAACATTTGTTTTCATTTTCTTGGTCACCAATGCTCTTAAAGACTGGTATTCCATTATAATAAATGAAGACTCGGCTTCTTGTGTTCCACATAATGGAACGTGCTTATATTATGCAATATAAATAAGTGTGTTTAGGCCGTGCTATTGATTTTATAGGCAGTTTTCTTGATAGCCGGGTCAAATCAGGTTTTGGCCAAACAAGAAGAGACAAACGAAAGAGGACGATGGGTCGCAGGAAGGAGGATAACAAAGAGCAAGAGAGAAAATGGAGCCTACTGAGGTCAAGGCGGGCTCATGCAATTTTTGGTCATTGATTTTCATTGGTCTCTTCCAAACCTCAAAGAACTTACCTAGGACTAATCTGGACTACTCGTAGGTGAAACACATTTGTCGGGTTTATTTATATTTAGCCACAGGCCGTATATCCATGAACCTAAATTAGCCTGGGAAAATCAATGAAAAGTTTACGTTTCGGCACTCGCGGATTCCCCCTATCGTTTTTTTTACCGGGTCGTTTTGGGGGGGCGTATAGGCATTGGGCGAAAAGAGAGAGGAAAGGTCTTAGAACCGAGCATGAAATACCGAAAAACCGAAAACTGAAAAAATTACTGCTAAACGGTCCGACGTTCGAAACAGAACTGAAAACTGCCAACAGAGAACCGAGAACTGAGAACCCACAACCGAGAACCCAGAACCTCGGTACCAAAGTCCGTTAGCATTTGAGTCTCTGTTTTGAGCATGCGTGCAACTACACTAACAACACCTAAATCAACAACGGCAACCGCAATCGCATGAATGAAGCCACACAGAGAGGCAAACCCGGCTAGAGATAGAGAGGGGATGCATACACGTGGAAAAATGAGGTGCAAATATATGTGGACTAAAATAGACTTAAAACTTAAAAGCCTCTTCTAATCCTTTCCCAGCTAATTTTTAATATACATTTTTTATTCAATACCTTTGGAATATACTTCAACATCCACTTTTCGTTAAGTGCAAGAGAGTTGAGCAGAAAGAGAGATGGAAAGCGCCATGTGGGAGAGCGCCAGCTCCAGTCATAACAAACAACGAACAAAGTGGCAAACAAACTACACGTGCTACACAAGACCTTCAGAGGAAGAGGGTGATGGATAGGGGGTGCCAGGGAGCAGAGAGAAAGCCGGTTGCCAAAAGAGAGAGCAATTGTGTCTGTCAGTTTTAGTGGCGATTCATGGGAGAGAGAAAGCGCGGGACCAAAGGATAAGAGCCGCAGACAAACGGCTGTTTTTTTAAGACCACGAACAACGTGGGGGTGTCGTGACGCACTTGCTCCTTTCACTCCTGCAATGCGGCAACACATTCGTGGGCTGTTCGATAATGTTTGGTTCAATGACATTGAAAAATCTGTTTGAAACAGTAGAACTTCTGAAAGTTTTATTTTTCCATCATTTATTTAAAAAATACAATTATTTTCACCTCATAAATGGCATATTAAGAGACTGATTAATTATAATTTCAGAACCAATGTATTCTATTAGGTATACATTCTTTAAATCTTTATATAAAATGCAATCAAATCAGAACTTTTCTATCTCCCCTCACTTGCTCAATGGGATACTGGCACACATGCGACAGCTGTCTGTTAAGTTTCAAAACTTTATTGACGGAGAATCTATAATTACTTTTAAAATGGTGTCCCGATTTATATGTCAATTTTTAAAGAGCTCTTTAAATAAAGGGGGAGGACAGAATGTGTGAGTTGAACTATCTGAATCAGGTTAAACTGAAAAGTCTGGTCTGGCATCCCAAAAATGTTGTGTACGTTGCCCTTGTTTATTCAGGATCTGTGCCTTTTTACCGCTTCCCTTACGAAACATAAAACAAAAGGGTTCTTGAAGTGGGGATAATCAAAAAAAAACTTCTCAGTTTCATGTAAATTTGATTAAAAATTTATTTTATACAACCAATTTACATTCATTTTAAATTAGTTTCCTTAGCATACTTTAAGGCAAGCATGTTTAGTGAGTATCTCAACCCATCAGATACTTTTGAGGTCGGCTGATGACCCATTTTTTTTGGATAGCCAGGTCGGTCAGTGTCATTCCTTGTTTTATCATTTAACCACAGTTGAACTGCGGTTTCTACGCTCAAAAACAGAAGTAAGCTTTTCGCATTTTTCAAAGAAGAGTATTTAAATGCTTATTGTTCGGTGAACCCTCGAACAATGGACAACAGCGAGGTGAAAATATCTCTGGACGATTCTCCCAGCTCCGGCGGGAGTTTTGCCAGTACAAGCAGTGGACCATGTTGCGGTCCAGGAAGGGATTTGGATCCAGATATACAGGTGGATATTAAAGATGAGCAGTTCGAGCTAGGATTTTCCAGTAAATTGCAGAAATCGAAGGGAACAAACAAGAAATGTTCCCTTGATTTGTCTGCAGGGAACAGCTATGCGGCAAACAAAAATGTGGCTGAAGGTAAAAACACAATACTTAAAAATAGTAAATACTCTTATCATGATGTGGTTTCCCAATTGAAATATAACTTGTAAAGTACTAACCGAAATTATCAAGCAAAAAATATAAGTATTAAATAATAATAGAAATGCTAGGATAAACTCGATTCACTATCGTTGGAATTCTGGTTCTAATTAATATATTTCCAGTAACTTCTCTTAGTGAGTTTTTGTAATTTCATTATAAATACATTTTATTTTAGTTTATATAACAACGTTTGTTTTTGTATGCTAAGTACTCCATTATATTCTTAATACTCTATCGAAATTTGGATCCAATTTTCCAGGTCTGATGGATATAGCTTTGCTTTCGGCGAATGCAAATCAACTGCGCTTTTTAATCACCTACAACGACAAGGCCTCCACCTACATATACAGTATGATTATGGTGATACTTTCCCTAGTGCTCCAGCTTTTGGTTGGAATAATGCTGATATTTAAGGTATGTAAGAAAAACATAAATAGTAAAACTTACTAATAAGAAAATCACACAGCGACGACTCAAGCGTTTTAAGAACCGAAGCTATGAGAGAACCAATGATCTGCTGGTGATGGGAGTTTTCATGATTACTGTGATCAACATACTGCTGGCGGCCTTCACAACAACTGATGGGGGCAGCCACTGAAAACTATCCATAAACAAATAAATTTCTTATATATTTTATATGTGTATATATTTTAATTGTATTTAATACAATATAACAGAATGAACTATGTGGTAAATGCTAAGGTAACATGGAGAGAACCGATAACGGATGGCCGTCTAAATTGCTCCAGCGGTTCCCACTCATAAATGCACTTGACGTATCTGACGTACGATATCTCAGCTTGTGTGGGGGGTTGGTTGGGTAAAACTATACATCCTAGCCGGTGTAATCCTTCTTGATGCACTTGGCAATGGTGCTGAGCTGCATGTTGGTGGTGCCCTCGTAGATGGCTCCGATCTTCACGTCACGGTAGTACTTCTCCTGGGGGAAATCGCGGGTGAAGCCAACGCCTCCCATCCAGTCAACGCACTTGATGGCCGCCCTTTGGGCCACCTCCGAGGCGAAGTACTTGGCCATAGCAGCCTCCTTCTGGAAGGGAACTCCCTGCTCCTGCAGACGAGCAGCGTTGTAGGTCATCAGACGGGCAGCCTCGATTTCTGTGGCAACAGTGGCGATCTGATGCTGCATCGACTGGAAGTTGAAGATAGCATCTCCGAACTGCTTGCGCTCTAGCAGATAAGGGATTGTGGCATCGAAGGTACCCTGGGCCAGACCCACCATCTGGGCAGCGATTCCAATGCGACCCTCGTTCAGGAAGCCGGCGGCGTACTTGTAACCATGTCCGAAGGTTCCCAGGATGTTCTCCTCAGGCACGCGCACATTGTCGAAGGTCAGCTGGCAGGTTCCGGAGGCACGAATGCCCAATTTGTCCTCAGGCTTGTTAACGATCAGACCGGGGGTCTCACGATCCACAATGAAGGTGGTGATGCCACGGTAGCCCTGCAATAAATTTGTGAAATATTAGTGACCTGCTTGGAATACTGAAAACTAAAAACTTCCATCTCTTTATAAAGATAAGCTTAATAAGTTTAAGGCAAATAGGGACAAAAATTTAGTGACTGAATAATGACCATTAAAATATATTTTCTTTAAATGTCCTATTTAAAAATATGTTAAACGCTTGATTACTTAACGACCATTAATCAACTGAACTTTGAACCAATAAAGATTAGATGGCAATCGTTAAGAAAAACATAAAGATAAGCTGTGGAAAATATTATACGATCGATAAGGAGCTTGTAAAAAAGTGAAAACTAAACTAAACGGAATGAACCAACAAAAACTGTATATATCTCTACTTACATCCTCTGGCTTGGCATTGGCGAAGATCAAGAACACTCCAGCCACATCAGAGTTGGAGATCCACATTTTGGAGCCGTTAATCACATAGTGGTTGCCATCCTTCTTAGCCACAGTCTTAAGGGAGAAGGCATCTGATCCTGCTCCGGGTTCAGTCAGGGCGAAGCTTCCAGCATACTCCTGAGCCAATTTAGGCAGGTACTTGGCCTTCTGCTCAGCATTACCGAACTTGATCATCAGGGAGTTGACCAGAGTGTTGTGGATGTCCACAAAGGCGGCCACGGCGGGATCAATCTTGGAGAGCTCCTCAACCACGATGATGTTGGTCGTGAAGTTGCATCCACTGCCTCCGTACTCTGTGTCGATCTCAATGCCCATCAGACCATTCTCGAAAACGGCTTTCACCACGGAGGAATCAAACTTGTGCTCAAAGTCCATTTTTTTAACCAAGGGCTGGATCTGCTCCTGAGCCAGCTTGGCAACTGAAAGGAATCGGAAAACAAGATATTACTTTAATATTAAAATACATTGAGAGAAATATACTACATCTATTAGACGTAAATATAAGATATAAAGGTATTATGATTTATGTATATAATTTAATAATAATACCAAATAACAAATGCTTAAGAAACACAAAGTTATATTATTTTCTAGATATTAAATGCTTAAATGTTAAACTCTTGAACTAAGAAGGTGTAATTAGTAAATATTTATAGTTAAATTTTCATTTAAATCAGAAGAGTTGATTACATAAAAATTACATTTTTTAAACCTTTACAAAAAGTAAAATGTTATAAAAATAAAAATTAATAGGAGGTAAACTACATACATACATATGTTTGAGATTGTATGGAAACAAATTAACAAATTTTATATACATACACATATCATTTTAATGATCGGTAGAAAAGCTTAATATCAAAGTTTAGGCAAAGCTTTGGAGAACTTTTTAGTGCACGTTTTCTTTAAAAAAATGTTGTCTTAAGCTTTTTGCTTTTTATTCTTTTCTACCTGTTTTTCTTCTAAGGGGCGCGATGTTTGCTGTTCGTCTTCTGTTTGTATAACTTTAGCTATGTCTTTATGTATATAAGGTATATATATTTGTATATTAGATAAAATAACTTTGTGTGGGTTGTGCGTGTGTTGTTTTTTATCAGCGAATTCTACGATCGCGTGGGGCTCTCGCAGCTGTCTTCTTCGCTAATTCTATTATTCTCTCGTGTTATTTATTATTGATCTCTTTTAAAGCATTTTTCTTGACATTGTTTTTCTGCTTGGAAAGCCAACAACTGGCACACCCACAAAATTTCTCACTCCTTCGACTTCCCTGCTCTATTAACTTTCCTGTCGTTTTGCAAACATTTGGTAAATGTTTTATTTTACTTATCATGGGAAATGCGTAAATAATTTATCCACTTTTTATATTCATTTAGTTTTTCAAACATATGGGCAGGGGTCAGTAGTTTTCTGACAGATGTGACGTGTCCCAATGGAATCGATAACGATTTTTCCTTTAATTTTCTTAGAGTTTTACTTGAGTTATTTAACTGAAGCCCTCCAATTATTAGCCCTGTTAATTTGATAATTTGACTAACTTTGTTTTATTAAGTTTAGGGTGAAATTGTACTAGATTTACAAAAAATAAAATTTACGTATTATTCTGCGTATTTTAATATTTAAAAGTAATAAGTAATTTAAGAATATTTTCGCATCATTAAACTTAAGGCTTAAGTGTTAACTGTACCATTACGATTATAGTTAAACCATTCGAAATGTATAAAAAACCAGTTTCAGTTTATGCACTTAGCCACTTTGCATTCAGCTCAGATTACGCAACAGTCAGACCACATACTTTCCCGCTTAGAAATATATATGTATGTATATACATATTAGTATATAAGATTTAGACCAATTAGGCGATTGATAAGCGGGACAAAGGAAAACTTATTTTTTATATTATTTTCCAAAAAAAAACCAGATGGTTAAAGAGTAACAAAATGTAACCTTCCCAACTAGGAATTAGATGGTTTGCAGTAGGACGTAAATCCTCCCACTCAGCTAATTCAACTCTCTAGGGAAGGGCGCCCGACCAAGTGCCACGCCCCTGATTGTCCGGCGTGATCACTAGAACAGTGACCACAGGTGGGCAGGGGGCGTGGCACAGTCGCATTTAATGCTCTATCACAAGTGTAACGCTATTCGGTTGACGTTTAGAATAAAACCAGAACCAAACAGCTGACTGACCTGTGAAAAGTTATTTAGGATAGTATAAAAGGTAACTATAATATATAATATATAATAACAACCCTTGCTTTAACTATTATTCTAGAGAAATGAGAGGCTCGATCAGAGTCGAACTCGCGCTTTGTAATTTTTTTTTTATTTTTTTTCCGGTTGCTCGACGAGGAACGCCACGGCCAGCCCAGAAAGAGCAGCGACGAAATTCGAAGTTGAGCGGCGGCGGCAACAAAAAGCTATTTTTAGACTACGCGTGGGGAGGGTGTGTGCCGGCATCCCACCCCTTTCATCTTCAGCCTACTGCGAGGTATGTTTTGCGTGCTAGGAAGTTATTTTATTCCTCTTGGTCAATTGTAGAAAAATATTTAAAATTATTGTTAAAGAACTTACTAAGGTGAGAGGAAAATTTTAACCTTAGGAAAAAAGCTTGTGATAAGGCTAGACCTTGAACTTGCCAAGCTGGCAGCTTTTTGGAAACTTATATACTTTTTAAAGGGAGCAAAATATCCAACTATTTTTAGAAAACGTTTATTTTTTAATTTTAAACAATTTTAATATAGTATTTAAAAATCTCTTCTAATTACTAAAACTTTTAAAAATGATTTTCACATTCGCACATATTATGTCTTAATTACTTATTTATAAATGCAAATTATATTATTCTTTTGTGCTTTGGCATATGATCAAAAATAAAAAAATATTTTAAACTATTTTTCTATAATCTGTAATGTATTACTAATGGAAAATTTTCATCAGAACATAATCGTATGATTTTAAGAAGATAACCTAATTTTTGCCCCAATAATTTATACGACCGTATTAACTTTAAAATATTAGTTTTAGATATTTTTCATTATATTATTAAGAAATAAAACTAATTATATAATATTTAAAGTAAATGGAATTTATTAAATTGTCCCCTACGTAAAATGCTAATTAGGCCAATAGACAAGATTAGATCGCTTGATGAAAAAATATATAAGGAAAATCGCTTATAGTAATATTCAAACAGAAATCTCAAAGAAACGTTCTAAACCTGATATACCCACTGATATTAAGTGACATTTTACTTCCACTATCGAAATAAAAATGTGCTTATCTGGCAAATAAACTCCCCTGCTCTTCCCCTCACCAAATACACTTTATCAGCAGAAAAAAGAATAGAAATATGTGAATACAACCAATAGTGCACGAAGACTTTTGCTGGTTAGTATATTTGGAAAATATTAATAAATAACAACAAGAGCATCATCAATATGCGATGCTTGGAGTTACGTAACAAGCAAGTCAAACCAAACACCACACAAATATCTTAAAAATTTTGGCACGGAAAAAAACACGCTTATCAAAATGGGACCAATGTTAGATTTACAGAACTAAGAGCACCTAAGATCAATATGAATCTAAAGAGAAACTCACCAGTCTCCTTCATCATCTTCTCATCTTCGGTGAAGAAAGTGAGGGGTGGGGGAAGACCTGCTGCCGAGGACATCGCAGCATTTTGCTGACGTGCAGCGGCATTGGCCAGCTAAAAAATAAAAGGTAAATCAAATTAATTTAGTTAAAGCCAACGTCAGACTTTGGGGGCGTGTCAAACTCACCATGCGCATGGGCAGTTTCTTCAGGCTGTTCATCATCTTGAATGTAGTGGAAAGTTAATTTAATCAAGGGGCCAAACTGGACTTTATTAGGCTTTCGGAACTGCTCCCCAGAGACACCACACCGCAACAGTTGGCTGCTCACACGCGAGTGAATTTCCATTCTCCAGCAGCAGATACGATCGGAAGAGCAACTAGATTTTGAAAAAAGCTTTTCACCATGGCGGCTGACACTCAACACAGCAAGGTGGTTTGTTGATTTGACTGGTACTATGTGTTGTACAGATCTTTTTTATAATTATGTCAATTAGAAAATATTTATTAAAAAAATAATCTTCAAAAATATGTTCTGCTAATAATATAATATAATCAACAACAGCTACAGTACCAAACCCATAAGTTTGGAAACCCTTGCTTAAAACTCCATTTTAAGAAAATTTAAAATGTAGCAGTGGAGACAAATCAACAGGTTTAGTGAAGACACACACCATGAGAGTGTTGAATAACGCATAACCCATTTTTGACAGTTGGTCTCTTAGATATGGCACAGCCATCGATAGATAATGATTTGAATAACAAGAAGAATTTATTTAAATAAAGAGGATATTCATAATAATCACAAGCAGAAATACTTATTGGCCAACATTTTTTCAACAAATAATCTTTTTCACTTTTAACTATTGCCCAAAGTACCATCTCTGACTCAACAGGGCCCCAAGGCAGGTCCGCCTTTTATAGTAAATAAAAACAATTTATGGTCAATTTCTGTTAAATACATTTTTAATTGTGAGTAAATGAAAAATTTCTTATGGCTACATATATTTAAAATAAAAACAACAAGTGATGGAACAGCTTGCTCCCATAACGATATTACACGATAAGAGCACACGGGCGAGCGCAGCCACATTTATTTTCTGCTCACCTCTAGCGACTCTTCCTCTTTCCTTTTCTTTTGGCTGCGTTTCCGGAGAGGTCGTAACTGGGCAATTTTGTGTTTTAACACTAGACACGTGCGTTATTTTCTGAAATATTTTGTTTAGGTTCGTAATTTGGCAATTTTGTACTTACAGCCCACACAAGCAAAATGAAACAGAACCCGTTCGTGTCATCTTCGCGTAGGAAGAACCGCAAGCGTCACTTCCAGGCGCCTTCTCATATCCGCCGTCGGCTCATGTCCGCCCCTCTGTCCAAGGAGCTGCGTCAGAAGTACAATGTACGCTCGATGCCCATCCGTCGTGACGATGAAGTCCAGGTGATCCGTGGCCACTTCAAGGGCAACCAGGTGGGCAAGGTGGTCCAGTCATACCGTAAGAAGTTCGTCGTCTACATCGAGAAGATCCAGCGCGAGAACGCCAACGGCACCAACGTCTACGTTGGAATCCACCCCAGCAAGGTGCTGATCGTTAAGCTGAAGCTCGACAAGGACCGTAAGGCCATCCTTGAGCGCCGCGGCAAGGGTCGTCTGGCCGCTCTCGGCAAGGACAAGGGCAAGTACACCGAGGAGACCGCCGCCCAGCCCATGGAGACCGCGTAAATCGCCGGTTAAAATTCTTCACTGGACCTGGACACCTGTCACATCGCTGTTTACTGTTTTTACCGTAACGCTTAGTGTAACAACAAACAAAAACAACTTAAAAAATTGCGTGTGGAAACAGCGCCATTCTTTACAATAAAGAAAAGATGATTTTCGCAAATGAATGTTGTTGGCGAATAGTTTTGTATTATTAAGTGAAAAACGTGGTTTGATTTATGACGATAATTAGTATTTGTTTATCAGAAGTTCAATTTAGACTTTGATTCTGCTAAGAATCATTTTGGAATCAGATTTCGAGAAGTGGTTTGCCCATTTGCATTTGTTTTAGTTTAAATTTTAGAAATTGAAATTCCTATTATATATTAAAAAACTATTGTGCAGTAGTAGTGTAACATCATGAAGATCAATATTTACCTTACCTTAAACAGCTAATTTCTAAAGATATGATCAATTGCTATGGTCTGTTGGATGTCATATTTCTGTTGCTTATTGCTTTGATAGCGCCACTCAGTCTCTTTAATGTTAACTTAATTAAAAACGATTGCTATAAACAAAAATTTACTCGATATTAAGAAAAAATAATGATAAAAGGCTGAAAGCCTCACATATGGGAGATATGAAGAAAATGCTTTATTTATGGGCTAGGTCAGGAAGTCTGAGTCTGAGTGGTATATTAAAGGCGGCCCATGATGAGCCAATGATGAATAAACAAAATTATAGAAATTGTTTATTTTATTAAAGCATCCATATACATAATTCTTTTTTTAAGTACGAAATATATTTTCAGAGTATTCACTTATGTTTTCAATGTAGAGAAATATTTGTTTTACATCTTAGGCACTTTTGTGTAGACCCTAATAGAACATATGAAAATTTGAAGGATATATTTAAGAAACGAGAAATGAAAATGAAATTATGTTAGGTTTATAAGTTTTTAAAGGTTGAAGGCACACTTTTTCATACATATTTTTGGTTTTTGGTTTTAGACATTGATGGCTTTAATGCAATCTATGTGCATATTCTAGTTTTCGGAATATTATCGTAAATTGCCCTATACTTATTTCTTATTGTTCAGAAATCTGGCCTTTCATTTTTAAGGCTCAATAAAATGCTTTGGATTTCGCTATTTGGGATTAGGAAGATTTTACTTATTGACGCCTTGAGTAAAGGCTCCTGCACTCGTAGGGATCGAAACGAGTATCAACGCGGTTCTTAGCCTTTGGTGGCCTCTTCTCCTCCTTGTAATCCTCGCCAAAGTGACGACGGTTCTCCTCCTTGATAAAAGCCTTTCGCTGTGAGGGAAACAATCCACAGGGCTCTCTCACTATATTTGCAGTGGAACAATAGGTCTGTGGATCATAGACAGGATCGTTATCGTCGTCCCAGTTTTCTTCGCACTCGATCTTTGCATGTTTGGTGTCTTCGTTCAATTCAGCAGACCCATTCGTCTGGTAATCCACTATAATCTTTCGATCTTCGCACGCTTTTGTGTGTTGCTGTATGTGGGTTATGGTTTAAGTAACGTATATTAACTTCACAACATTGTACTCACAAAGAACTCGGGCTCTGGTATTAAATGCGTCTTGTTAAAAGGACAAACCATCAGTTCCACCGTGTCTTTGTAGATCACACGGCATTTCAGGATGTGCTGCTGGAGTTTCTTGCGCAGCATTTTGTGTTCCTTGTTGTACGGGCAGTAAACCATATCCGATTCGTCGAAATTATTCATTTTATTAGCTGTTTCAAGACAGATTTTTAAAGAGTCTAGTCTGATCAATACCCTAGCGGTATCGATAATAGAGTTATTTCGATAACTGCATCCTTCCGTTTGCACTACACCAAATTCAAAACTCCAATTTTTAATTGCCCCTGTTAGCCACTATCAAAATATTTAAACGGACAAAATAAATGAAAAATATTGTTTTATTATTCTACGGCTGAGTAAGATTTTTATCTGTTTAATTTACCCATTCTTATTGATGAGAAAAAGTACAAATAAATATAAACGATTTTTCTATTTGAATAATATCATAAATGACCTAAATAAATCGAAACTCTTGAGTACTGCGACGGAATAGGAAACAGTCATTAGTAAAAGTAAGTATTTCATATGAAGAAATAATAATGTTCCTATTCTGAATATGGTAGCTGATGCAGGTACGTTGCATGTGTGAATATGCTTTAAACAACAACAAAAATTGCAATATGTACTTCGTGCTATCGTATGGTATTTTTATATCGATATCAAGATTCGATAGCCCTAGTTAGCCCTATCGTTCTGCGATTGCAGCTGGAAAATATTTATAATAATCGTGAATTCGTAATTTTTATACACTTTAGTAGCATAAAAACACAGCAACAAGATGGGCAAAGGTTTCAACAATTACATGTGCAAGAAATTCTTCCACCCCGCATCCAGGGACAATCTCAAAAGGGTAAGTGACTCGAGGCCCGTGATGAAATACGTAAATAACTTTCAAGATAGATGTCTAAAATTTTCTTACAAATTTTTCGCAGGTGTGGATGGCGGAGCAGCAGGCGGAGGCGTACAAAAAGAAACAGGAGGAGCTGCGCAATCAGTATGAAAAGGAGCAGAATCTACACGAGAACAAGGCTATGCTGAGCAAGGACAGTAAAGACAAGCTGAGTGTGAACTTCATGTACGAGCCACCGCCAGGAGTGCGAAAGGAACGGGAAAAGGATGACAACGAGCCGGAGTACAAATTTGAGTGGCAGCGAAAGTACAATGCTCCCAGAGAGTCGTACTGTAAAGGTGACACCGAGATCCGGGACCAACCTTTTGGCATCCAGGTGCGCAATGTGCGCTGCCTAAAGTGCCACAAGTGGGGCCACATCAACACGGACAAGGAGTGCACTATGTACAGCATTTCGATGAGCGAGGCACGCAAACTGCATGCGGAAACAGAGGCCAGCGACATCATGGCGAAGAACGTCCTGGAGGAGCAGATGAAGGAAGATGGTCTCATGATGAAACGTTCGGCCCTGGAGCTACAAAGCATAAAGACCATTCGACAGCAGCATCAGCTGGTGCCTAGCGATGGCGAGGAAGAGGCCAATGCCCATCCACAAAATCCGGAGCTCGTCTTTCTTAAATCATTGTCCAAGAAGCAAAAGCTAAAGCTACTCAAGAAGCTGGAAAAGATCGAACGCATGAAGCGCAAGGGTGAGGGCATCAAAAAACCTTCTAAGAAAAAATCTAAAAAGAAAAATGACGATAAGGATAGCAAGAAAAAGAAACCGAAAAAGGAAAAATCAGGCAAGAAAAAAAGAAAATCTTCAGTTAGTGATAGTTCAGACTCCTCTTCTTCGTCGGATAGCAGCGATTCGGAAGATGACCATAAAAGCAATCATAAAGACGACAAAAGAAATGGCCTTCAAAGATCTAAAGACTCAGAACATAGCCGTCGAAGGGATGAAAATAGACATCGACGAAATAGAACTCGCTCCAGAGACCGATCCCGCTCGCGATCCGTCAGCAAAGACAGGAGAAGGGATCGCAGGGATCATTCACGGCGATAGTATTATCTTTGTAAAACCCACCAATAAATTTTGTAGATTTTATATCAGATTATATGTTTATAACATAAAGCAAGTATCACTTAATCACTTTAAACTTTAGAAAAAAATTCATATTTAGCTTCGCTATAATTCTTTATTTGCCATTGTGATATACATAGTTTAAAGAGTTCATTGGTTATGCTCCGATGGCGAATTCCTTTAGATCCTGGCCAGTTGAGCGGTGGTAGAGGATCCAGCGGAAACGCAGAGCTCGGCACCGTGGTTGCTGCCACCCTCCCTGGAAATGCTCTTCACGTGAATGTGGCTCTTGAGCATCGCCGCTCGGAGGACTAGCATTCTGGTATGTCGCTGGTACTGCTTACCCATGATCAAAGCCCGTTCAAAGGTGCTGTTTCGCTGATCGGCTTCCTTGGCGTACAAGATCTTGTTGTGTGAATCGATACGCGCTTGAATCTGTCCATCCAATATCAACTGCATCACCTCGTTCTCCAGATCACCTACTGATGAGTTAAAGGCCATGGCCATTTTGTGCATATCAGCTGACATGTAGGGGCTAAAGTACTGGATCAGGGCTCGGTTACGTATCTTGGTGTATAGAGTGGTAACATGTGGCGCTATGTACATATCCACCAGAAGATTGTCTCTGATCTCATCTAGCAGTGTCAAACAGGAGGCATACTTGCTTTCGTAGAACTTGAATATAATATCCCTTAATTGAGGCTCCAGTTCCAAGAACAATTTGAAGGAGGTGGATGCGATAACCAAGCGTTTTAGCTCCTGTCGATCGAAGGTAGCCAATGCGCAAAGGCCACCATAGACTGCAACATTGCTGGTGGAGATCATCTCGGGAAAGTCGCAGTGATCGAAATTTGCATTGAGGAAATGCTTGGCTGCTACTTTGTACTTCTTCTGCTGCAGTTCAGCCAGACCAGCAGCGCATTCTAGGCGAGTATGCACCTGGGCATTTGCCTCCTTGGAGCCTTCGGCGAAATCCGGAGTGCTTTCTGCCTTGGATATGTAGCTCATCACATGAGCCCAGTTTTGAAGATAGATAGAAACCTTGATAACATTTAGACACATGTTAACCACATGTTTGCCACTGGTGCAGTAATCTCTGGCCCGGGAATAGCACTTTAGGGCATTTGTGAGATCACCACAACTGAGGTAATGGTCAGCCAAGTCATCATGACCCCGGCGAATGCTCTCTTTGATCGAATTGGACTTGTAGTTCTTTAGGTCGGAGTCCAGTTTTTCCAGCTTCAGTGCCGCCTTCTTCAATTTTGTGTCCACCCATCCAGCATCGTAGGCGAAGGCATCCTTCTCGCCAGCGGGCTGAGCCTGTCCTTGAGCCTGGGCCACAGGCTGAGCTGCGATATCCGGGAGAGGAGCAGCTGCTGGGGCACCAAGAGGTGCTGCTGCTGCCTGATCTCCACCAGCATTTGCCGCAGGAGCAGGGGCGTTTCCGGCATTAAGATCACTCAGACGTTTGTGAAGCACTTGGTAGAGGTTCACGTTGTATGTGGTCTGCACGTAGGTAATGGCCATTTTCAGTGCCTCCACTGCTAAAATCGGGCATACGTCGGCCACATATATCAAACGATGAAGTCGAATAATACCGGAATATTGATTGGCGTAGACCTCGAGATCGATGCTGGGATTTTCCACTACAATTTGCTGTTCTTCGTTGTTCTCATTATCCTCATTCGGCGGCGCATCCACTTGCATCGGCTCCACGGCATTCTTTTGTTCGGAAAAAACACAGTTTTTGCTGATTATATTATCCTAAATAAAATGTTTGATGTTCTAATATACCTGCATCAGTGGTGGCATCGGCAGCACGGGCATCCTGCTTTAATTTGTGGCGAAAATCCAAGTAAAATTCACAAACTCTTGCCAACTTTTTGTTTATTTCTCAAATGTTTTTTCGATTTGCAAAGTATTTCGCATCGATAAACCGGTGCGACCAATCGAGTCACAGTTTGCGGTCGATAAAACTTAAGGCACGACTTCACTTTTCCTTTACCAATGGGTTATGTTTAAAGGAGAAGGACAGATTTATTAATGCCGTCCAGTTACTCATTCAATTTACAATTTATGTATATACTTTTGATAATTTGTTTAGTTTTGTTATATGATTATTTGATTCCTGGCTAGTTTCAATTAGATTTACCGACTACAAGCCATAGTAATCATCAGTTGCAAACGGGCACACTGTACCAGCTGGCATCTCTTAAGCGCATTGCCGTTTGGTGATATCAAAGAAAACAACTTTCGGGTTTTTGTGAAATTAAATAAAAGAAGTGTTGCAAATTGGCATAGAGTTAATTCAAGATGTCTAATATTACTGCTGCGGTTATAGCAAACCGCAACAAGAAGCATTTCCTTGGCGTTCCAGCTCCGCTAGGCTATGTGGCCGGTGTTGGTCGTGGGTGAGTATAATCGAATGCACTTTTCAAGTATCACGCCTTAATATTATTTCTTTAGAGCCACGGGATTCACCACACGGTCCGATATCGGTCCCGCCCGTGATGCCAACGATGTATCTGATGATCGTCATGCGCCTCCGGCCACTAAACGTAAGAAAAAAGACGAAGAGGAGGAGGAGGATGAAGACTTGAACGACTCAAACTATGACGAGTTTAGTGGTTACAGCGGCTCCCTGTTCTCCAAGGATCCGTATGACAAGGACGATGAAGAGGCGGACGCCATCTACGACTCGATCGACAAACGAATGGACGAAAAGCGTAAGGAATATCGTGATCGGAGGCTGCGCGAGGATTTGGAGCGGTATCGTCAGGAGCGACCAAAAATTCAGCAGCAGTTCAGTGACCTCAAACGCTCGTTGGCTAGCGTCACATCGGAGGAATGGTCCACGATTCCGGAAGTAGGCGATAGCCGCAATAGAAAGCAGCGAAATCCCAGGGCTGAGAAGTTTACGCCCCTGCCGGATAGCTTAATATCCAGAAATCTTGGTGGCGAGTCGTCCTCCACGTTGGATCCTACCTCAGGCTTGGCTTCGATGGTGCCTGGTGTAGCCACTCCGGGTATGCTGACACCCACAGGAGATCTGGATCTCCGCAAAATCGGACAGGCGCGTAACACTCTTATGAACGTCAAACTGTCTCAGGTTTCTGATTCTGTTACGGGTCAAACGGTAGTAGATCCCAAGGGATACCTCACCGACCTGCAGAGTATGATTCCCACCTATGGTGGTGACATAAATGACATCAAAAAGGCTCGCTTGCTGCTCAAAAGTGTGAGGGAAACGAATCCCAATCATCCACCAGCCTGGATTGCTTCAGCTCGATTAGAGGAGGTCACAGGAAAGGTTCAGATGGCCAGGAATTTAATCATGCGGGGCTGTGAGATGAACATCCAGTCCGAGGATCTTTGGCTGGAAGCAGCTCGCCTTCAACCGCCAGATACAGCCAAAGCGGTGATCGCGCAAGCTGCTCGTCATATTCCAACCTCCGTTAGGATTTGGATTAAAGCAGCTGATTTGGAATCAGAAACAAAAGCCAAGCGCAGAGTTTTTAGAAAGGCTTTGGAACATATCCCAAATTCCGTTCGTCTTTGGAAAGCCGCCGTGGAGTTGGAAAATCCCGATGATGCACGTATCTTACTATCCCGCGCCGTAGAGTGCTGTAATACGAGTGTTGAACTTTGGTTAGCCCTTGCACGTTTGGAAACGTACGAGAATGCTCGAAAGGTTCTGAACAAGGCTCGTGAGAATATACCCACAGATCGCCAAATTTGGACCACGGCCGCCAAGTTGGAGGAGGCCAATGGTAACATCCACATGGTGGAAAAGATCATTGATCGATCACTGACTTCGCTGACTGTCAACGGGGTGGAGATCAACAGGGATCACTGGTTCCAAGAAGCCATCGAGGCGGAGAAATCCGGAGCCGTCAACTGCTGTCAATCTATTGTAAAGGCTGTCATTGGAATAGGCGTAGAGGAAGAGGATCGAAAGCAGACCTGGATCGATGATGCAGATTTTGTAAGTATTAATATAAAATATTTGTGCATTGAGTGATTATTATCTTCTCATTTTATTTTTTCATTATTAAAATTACAATTTTTCCTTTTTAGTGTGCAAAGGAGAATGCTTTTGAATGTGCTCGAGCAGTATACGCTCATGCCCTTCAGATATTCCCCTCTAAAAAGAGCATCTGGTTGCGGGCCGCCTATTTTGAAAAGAACCATGGCACCCGCGAATCTTTGGAAGCTTTGTTGCAGCGAGCCGTTGCCCATTGCCCTAAATCGGAGATTCTCTGGCTGATGGGTGCCAAGTCGAAGTGGATGGCTGGGGATGTCCCGGCGGCGAGAGGGATTCTTTCTCTGGCCTTCCAGGCCAATCCAAATTCCGAAGACATTTGGTTAGCAGCCGTTAAGTTGGAATCGGAGAACTCGGAATATGAACGGGCTAGACGTTTGCTGGCCAAGGCTAGAGGTTCTGCACCCACGCCTAGGGTGATGATGAAATCAGCTCGCCTGGAATGGGCTTTAGAGAAATTTGATGAAGCCATACGGTTGCTAGAAGAAGCAGTGGAAGTGTTTCCCGATTTTCCAAAACTTTGGATGATGAAGGGGCAGATTGAGGAGCAGCAAAGACGGACAGATGATGCGGCTGCCACTTACACTCAAGGTCTGAAAAAGTGTCCCACATCCATTCCACTGTGGATTTTATCCGCCAATCTGGAAGAGCGCAAGGGAGTACTGACAAAAGCTCGTTCCATTCTGGAACGAGGTCGTTTACGCAATCCCAAGGTGGCTGTTCTTTGGCTGGAGGCGATCAGGGTGGAGTTGCGAGCGGGTCTCAAGGAAATTGCTAGCACCATGATGGCCAGAGCACTCCAAGAATGTCCTAGCGCTGGAGAACTATGGGCGGAGGCCATCTTCATGGAAACTAAGCCTCAGCGAAAAACCAAATCAGTGGATGCCCTCAAAAAATGTGAGCATGACCCACATGTACTGCTGGCTGTATCAAAACTTTTCTGGTCGGAACACAAGTTTTCCAAGTGCAGGGATTGGTTTAATAGAACGGTAAGTGAATTAAAGCTGACTTTTGTAATCTGAGCTAATATATATTATTTATTTCAGGTCAAGATTGATCCCGATTTGGGTGATGCCTGGGCGTATTTCTACAAGTTCGAACTGCTCCACGGCACGGAAGCGCAGCAGCAGGAGGTTCTCGATCGGTGCATATCCGCAGAGCCCACACACGGCGAATCCTGGTGTCGAGTCAGCAAGAACATCCAGAACTGGCAGTTCAAAACACCTGAAGTGCTGCGTTCCGTTGTCCGGGAGCTTTCTATACCTGTCTAAACTTTAGTTTATTATCCATAAATATGTTCAGCCTAGCGCTGCATCTCTCGATATGCCTTGGCTATGCGATAAACCAGCTTGAAGTGCTTAAATATGAATTCTAAGAGGAACAGGCCAAAGCTAGCGGCAGCTCCACAGCCAAAGATCCCCAAAGCGTAGCGGCACTCGGTAATGCCAATCGACACGAAGCCACCAACTCCGCCCTCGCACTTGGGCTTCTGTGGGATCCACTTTCGTTCCTCGCGATTCACCAAACTTACTTCTCGCTGCCAGCGTAGTCTGTTGGAAAAATGAAAATGTTTAAAATTATATCTGTCATTGCTTTCCATTAAACAATGGAGTTATTTTTTCTAATCCAAATGTACAAATTATTTTCACGGTATACATTTAAATTCCAAAACTCTTGTTTTGTAAAATTGACTTCTCTGTAAAAATAAAAGTTCAGGAAAAACCGAAAACCGAAACTTATAAAATAAACTTACTGTCTTCGAATAAGTTCCTTGTAAGGAAAGTTTTTCCTTGTTGGAATGGCCAACATAGGCAACTGGAAAGGCTCTAGTTCCATTAAGCCACACTTTTCTGGCTCACTGAAGGTGTCGCTGACGATTTGGTAGCCAGCCTGGAGTTCGACCTGATAAGCAAATAATCCCGTCCGCATTCTTTCCATTCCTAATATCGGCCGTATATAAACATTATCTCCCTTGGAGGCGATCTTCTTGTGGTAGAGATTCTTGGTCACGGGATCTGTTGACTCAGTGAAGTAAATTTTATTATATTGCGTATCCTGAACACCAATTTCTAGAGGGGATTGGCCCAGATCAGCCAAAGATCGAATGGCATCCGATGGACTTTGCAGCAGAGCCACAATGTTAGCCGAAAACGAGGTAAACAGGAAAAGAGCTGCAACAAAAGTGGTAAACACAATGATCCGTGCTGATCGATTCCGCACCTCCACATAGAATCCCTGCTGGCACATTGCACCCCAAACAAAATTCAGGGTGTCCATGTAGGCCATATCATGTGTATGTGGGGAAAATAGCAGTTCCAGAACCAGAACTACAGTCGTTATGATCAAGAGCATTAAGATTGACACCCACACATCGTTCTCAAAGGGCATGGCAAATATATTGGCCACTGCCGAAAGTGGTGGTTGCCGAAACATAATCCCAGCTCTCACACGATAAGTCTCAGCCACAAAATCTACTAAGGCAATACGATCCAATCTCATGAAAATCGCTAGCTGAGCAAAGTCTAGCTCATAGCGCTGAAAGCGTCCCATCAGGCCATCAAATGAGCCATTTGGTTGTCGCCATCCATAATTCACGGTTTGGTAAGTATTATAGCTGAAATAAAAAGGTTTTAACAAATGATGTTTCTCTGGAGTGTACGGTCTATTTTAAATCTTAAGCCATCTAACCTCATATTTAAGCGATTGGCCAGCTCGAGCATCAGTCGATGATTAACCTTCGATATAGTGTCAATATGCCTCAGTGACAAATCCTCAATATTTGTGAATAGATCGGGAAATGCAATAACTATAGCCGAGTTGAATACTATCCCCTCCAGATTTTGTCTGTAAGTTATGGCCGATCCAAAATGCTGCAGGGCATGGATTATGTGTCTTGCTTTTCTAATGTTATGCCCCACCAAAGTTCTCTTCAAAGGTTTCCAAGCAGCCACCTTATAAAGATCGATCAAGCTCGACGAGAAGTTTCCCTCGTTTTCATAGACTAACACCCTCATTTCACTATCCGGAGGAATAAATATTTCGGAGTCCTCTAGCAGATCGATGTCTTCGGAGTTTTCAGTAAGCAGTAACCAAAACCGATTGGTGGTGAAGTAATTATGCTCCGATGCTGCAGACCAACGAAGTAGATTTAATGCACAGTCGCTGCTGAATTCCAGCAGAAGGATTCCCATTTTGTAAGGCAGCATGGGGAGCAGAAAGGAGGTCTCCCAGTGGGTGGAGTTGTTGGCATGGAAACTCTTCGGAGGTGGTGCGTCCTTCTGCTCATCCAGGACATCGACATGTCGCAGGTCCCTTAGCGAGGTCGCCGTACTGACCTGCACATAGAAATCGTTGAGGTTGAAGTGCTGCCAGAGCGTCCAAAGGCGAGAATCCGCTGCAGGGGAAAAACAGAGTGATACAGAGGAAAAAATATTTTAATATTAATGTTTTAAATATATTTTTCTAAAATATGCTTTGGTTGTAAATTTTTTTTTAACTGCAGAGGTAGTTGAAACTTATGAAAATACAAATGGAAATATTACTTTTAAAATTATAGCCACATAAAATGTTTTTTATTTCTATATATATATTAAGAATATAACTTAAAATTTACTGTGGATATATAACTGCAGAACTAAGTAAAATATTTTTCAGTTTTATTTCTTGAATAGAGCAAAACGATAACAAAATGGTCATAATTGATTAAAAATTAAAATATCCATAAATCTGAAATAATGATAAGGATCAGGTCAAGGTTTAATTGTCTTTTAATTGCTGCCTTTTCATGCCAAAGAATAATTTAATAAATCTTCAAAGATTTCCTGTGTTCCCTAAATTTGTCCCGAGAAGCACATTGCATGCAGAGGGTTAATTCACCAATGTCCGTGTGACAAACGACCAGCATCAGGCTGTGAACGCCGTGGTGGCGATAGTAAGCGACTAGCATATCCGGCAACTGATTGCCCCACCGTGTTTTCGAGTCCGGATCCTCCCGGGAATTTTCGCTTCGCCAGCTGCCAGCGACACGTGGCCCCGTACTGACAAGCAGGAAAAATAGCAGGGGGAGCCAGCGAAAAACTTGAACTTTCATCACTCCGAATATTAACGAGTTGCTGTCCTTTCGCTTTTGCATTTCCCCGGCGTACATTTTCGGTCGCTGTTCGCTGGTTGGCCGTCCCTGGCTTTTATAGCCAAAAGGGCATTCGCCAGTAATTGCATTCAAGAATTGCATTAAAATTATGCATTGATTACACTCCACTGCACTTCCTTTGGGTCCTCAACCATCCATCTGCCGTCATTACATTGGGCAATCTTCCCCAGCAATTTCGCGACAACTGCAATTGGTCATCGATGGCGTTTAATTGGTCCGAGCAAGTGGCGCACAAATTGTCCTCGTGGAAGTGCGGACAAAGTCAATTACGTGTCAACGACGACCGGAACGGAAAAAGTTGCTTCGACTTTCAGGACTTCGTTTGGCTTTCGGAAAAGCACATAAGTTGGCCGTGTCTGTGGAGGAAAGAAATTCGAAAGTTTCACCGTTGGTTTTTTTTTTGCCAATTTATCTGATTATATCTCTGTATTTTAAGAAAAAATTGATCTTTTATGATGTATGTGTGGGTAAAAGGTACTCTTTATACCCGTTACTCGTAGAGTAAAAGAGTATACTGGATTCGTTGAAAAATATGTAACATTTAGAAAGAAGTGTTTCCGACCCTATAAAGTATATATATTCTTGATCAGTATCAATAGCGAAGTCGATTAGGCCATGTCCGTCTGTCCGTCCGTCTGTCCGACTGTCTGTCTATCCGTATGAACGCTGAGATCTCAGGAACAGTAAGAGATACTAAGTTGAGATTAACCATGATTCTTGAGGTCCCGGGACAGCGCCTGCCACGCCCACTCTAACGCCAACAAATCGCGAAAAAAACTAAAAACGCTGAAATCTCAGGAACTATTAGAGCTAGAAAGACCAAAATTGCGAAAATCTCGGAAACTATAAGAGCTAGGTGTGCCTAAGAATACGTATTTAGAAGATGCCTCTGCAACTGACCCCTAATTTGTATCCGGCCACGCGGAAAACTGTGGCGTCCATGATGATATAGTGTACCTTGTATATTATTGTCGATATCTATCAATCTATCAATGATCTTTCAAATCGGTTATAAGGCCTCACATGGGCAGTGACGTTACTATCATTTACTCAATATGCTTTCTCCGACAATAGATGGCGCTTTGGGAATTTCCAATATCAAAATTAATATTTTAAAATTGTGTAAAAGAGTAACGAGTATTTTATAGTCGCGGCATTCGACTATAGCGTTTCCTCTTGTTTTATTTTAATTACGATTTACGATTTAATGCGACATTTCAATTTTAAATATTAAATTAGTGTGTATCCTACTGTAGATGATAGTCTCTAACGAAGATAAGAGTACATTATAAGAAGTATATTTTATAATGAAGCAAAAAGTTTAATAAATTTAATGGAAATCTATTGTTTTAATCAACCTATTTAAAGCAATAGAAAATGTGTATCCAAAAACATTCAACAGAAACAAAAACTACTCAGATAATCTTAAAATCCCTCAATAAACTTTCTTTGCCAGATTAATTGTGCTTGCAAAATCTTCTCTTAAGCGTATAAACCCAACTTTAAATAAGCTGAATAAATTCAGTTAAGGAGCCAAGTTTCGGCCTGAAGGCATATGTAAGCATTAAGAATCAATTAAGAAAATTGAATGAAAAAAAGAAAGCAAAAAATAAGCAAATTTGATCAAGCATGGGGGAGATATATACGCACATGCAAAAGATAGAGGAACTGGCATTAGCAGGATGTCACAGGACAAAAACAAACCATAAGGAAAAAGGACAAGCCCACGCATACACCCCCAACTGCCGACGACATTAACACAATTACAATCTGACCATGTGTTAGTCTTCTAAGACATGCGTTGACTATAAAGAAAAATCCAATTAAAAGTGATAAAAGTTATTGAAGCGTAGCGTAGCAAAAAGGAAAACCATTAGAAGAAAAACAGGAGGAAAAACAAATGGTCGAAATGCGGAAAGGGAAGCGCAAAAGGCGGAAAGAAAGGCCCTACAAAGTGGCTGCCATTTGTGGCATGGTATATAGCGCTGATTGCAACACCAGATTATCACACAGATTTGGCGAGTGGCAGACATGCCAAGGACAAATCAAGATTTATCCTCCTCCGCCGCACCCACCTCTTATTTGGTAAGGGTAATCATTCATCTGCCCAAACGAACGGGAAAAGATTTTCCACCACGAAAACATTTTCCGAATCAATTATGTTTAAAAGCAAAGGATCAAATTGAGATGGTCGTAACTGAATTTTAAATCGACCTGTTAATTGGCACGGAAAAAAGATAATTCAGAGAATGAATATGTAAATGTCATTATGAAGCTGGCGTTCTCTGGTTTTTGCCAAAAACGTATTTATTCCATCTAATCTGTAAGTACCTGTATACATAACATACTCCTTTATATGATACATACACGTAATCAAATTATACCTTTTTTTTATTGTGCTTCCTGTTTTCTAGCCTCTTTTTCAGCAGCGGCGGCCTCCTTTTTAAGCTGATCTTCTCTTTTTGATGCGTGTTTCCGCCAGTTCTTAACCACTTTGTCAAATTCCTTTAATCGATCTTTCTTGTCCTTCTGTGACTCTGGCTCCTGGCCAACGGAATTTTCATCGATTTCATCCTCATATCCTCCTGGTGGCAAGGCATTCATATGGTTATTATGAAAAGCAGTGCGATTTCCATCCTTAAACCAAAATGGCTTTGTTCGCCTGTACAAGTAAGTATAGTTCTTAAATTCTAGGCGCTCATCTTCTTCGCGAGTGCTTAGAACAAAGAGGCTAAGAATAGCTATTAAGGGAAGGACTCCAAATAGAGAGATTTTTTGCCAACGTTTTGAGTGAATTGGAATTATTGCTAAAAAGAAAAATAAGTTTACTAAAACTAGATAAAAATCCAATACTTACGTTTCTTTTTTTCTGTCTTGCTAGGGCAGCCCAAATCTCCTCCTTGAATATCAGTTAGAGGTATTTCCTTCTTCTTTTGCTTGGGTTTACCGAGTAACACTTCATCGCAAGTTTTTGGTTTCTTTTTCTTAATTTTAGTAATTTCTGGAGGATGTACTGTTGGCTTGCATTTTGATCCGCCGGTTATTACTGTTTCATCTTTTGCCATTGCCACTTTGGTTTCTTTAACCGCTTTAGGCGGTGTTTCTACAAGGATTGAGCTTATATTAACTTTAATTATTATAAATCTACGCAACTTAACCTTTTTTTGGCGTATCTGCAGGTTTCTTTGCCGCCTCCGCTGGTTTTTCATCTTTACCATCCTTACACTTCGGATCTGTTTAGAAGTAATCTTTAGAATACTCAGATATTATTATCAAATAGCATTAACCTTTAGATCCTGTGCCAGAGGATTTTGCATCGCCTGACTTTGACATTAAACGCTGGGAAAGAGATGTACATAATAAATACCGTGGGTACAGGTATTTCACTACTTGTAACTGCCGCATTCTAAAAGATAAATTCTAATTTTTATGAACTTACTTCCGAAACATAAAATTTAAAATATAATTTTGGCCTGATTTTAAAAAATAATGTCAACTGTCAGCCTACCTAGAGGAGCTTTTATTAAAAAGGCAAAATTCCTTATATTGAAAAATAGGAAAAGTAAACTTTAAGGCAAATACATACAAATTTTACCGTAACCGACCATATACCAGTCTCATAGCTTCACGATTTAAAGGCAATGTAACTGATATTTTAACCCGAATGAAATTAAAGTAGGGATATTTCAAAATTCTTTAAAATATTTATATATTTTTAATGTTTTTGTGAACTTTTTTCTGCAGTTTTTTACTTCAACTTTAACACAATAAACATTCTTTGCTGAGAGCAAATTGCCGCCATTAGATGGCGGCAGTTCATTAATCATTGCGCTCATGCTTTTGGACGTGCGCCTGTCATGTTCAACTACTTTTATAATTTTGTGCTGTGTGTTTGCTTGGTCAGTTGATTTTTTATTACTTGCTCTTACTTGCACTGTACGAGTATTTTTTCCCACGCATCCGTGTTTGAGTTATGTAATCCATATGGGATGAAAAAGTTTATGATTGCTCTTCCAGGGAAAGGAGTTTCCTTTTCATCCGCTACTTCAAATGGGGTTTATTGAGCTTAAATTAATGCAAATCCTTATGCTGGGATGGTGACCTATTTTCCATGTAGATTGCGTTCCATGTGGAAGGGTTAATCCTTTGAAGGCATTGCAATTATCGGAGATCTTTCACTTGACTGCACAAGATTGCGGCGGGTGGCTGGGCATGATTTGCATAGGGTACAAAAGACCAGAGGCCTTTGACAATTAGTATATGTATTTTTAGAACCTTTGTAACCTTTATAACCTTTGCTACCCTTGTTGTGGGCTCTGCATCCTTTGGGCTCTATTATTTCTGTGTTGTATTTGTGTAGCCCTAGGCTAAGCTAAATTGAAGTATGCTTGATGTTTATTATGCAACCACAATGTGCTACTTTGTGCTACCTTTTGGCTTTCACGCCTTTGAAATACTTTAATCCATCATTGCACAGACATACATGTTGAATGTACATTAGGGAGGACCAGATCACTTTCTAGAATATTACGTATACGACCCTTAAGTATGCCCAAAATTGTTAAATAACATTTTGAATTAGTTACTAGCATATGATCAGGTTTATATTTTTTTTATATTTATTTTATAAGAAAACATTAACAATTGGTTGTCAGTTTAACTGCTGATTTTATAAAATACCTTATTTTTCAAAAATATTCCCTATAATGTTACATAATGTTATAGCCCACCCTAATGCAAATATATCCATTCAAAGGGCCCAGGTCTAGCCCTTGGCAGTGTCTGACTGTCTACAGCTTTATTGACTCTCCGTTTTCAATTTGCCTGAACATAAGAGCGCCGAGAAACCTGTTGAAAAGGTGCAAAATCGCTCATTCATTCGTTAGCTCGTCCTCGTTTACCTTTCGCCCTTTCCCTGTTAGGCAAACACGCTTAGGCAGCCTTATCAATCAAAGGTATCTCAGTATATAGACTCGAACACACCCACGGAGATACAGAACACGCCCACACGTATGTTATTAATAAGGGCCATTTATCAAGGGCCGGGACCCTTGAATGGTGCGAAGCTCCTCAATGCAATGTGCCACATCAAGTAAAATTCGGATTAAATTGTGTGCCTTCTTTTTTTGCTCGATTTTTTTTATTTAAGTATTTTTATGCCTGTTTGTCGTGCGATGAAATCGTGAGTGCGGTAGAAGCGAATTAAGTTAAATGGTTTCTCCGGGCGTCAGGTGGCTAATGAAATGGCCTGTAAAGTATCTCACAGGCAATTAATATTGATTGGAAACTCATAAATTTGGCGCGATAATTTATGACGTGAGGAAATGAAGATAAATCTATAGTAAGGCTCTGGAAAATGCGTTTGATTGGGAAAGCGTTTTTAAGGTAATTGACAAAGGAGATTTTGATTTCATTTCCATTTCCAAATAAAAGGAAGATTGAACGTTGGAAAAGCACTTAATGATTAATTGAATAAATTATGGGATTGACTTTAAGTAACAAAAAGTGATAAGAAACTTAAGTTATAATAATAATGATCTTTGGAACGTAGTAATAGAAAAAGATTTAGAACACATAACCCTATAATGGCATGGCTGTAATACATAATTTATAAGCTCAAAATTCAAAGGCTTTATTTTTCATGGTCTGATTTCAATCAACCGAATACTCAGTTTACTCCGAATGCTCCATTAGGCTAACCCACGAAATCCTTGTTGAAGAGGGCGAGAGGGATATAAAATAGAGCTCAATATGTCAAAGTTCGTCGGCCATTGACATTAATTAATGGAATGTAAAATGAACAGCGGCGCACAGCAGGAAAAGCGGCGAAAGCAGATAGTCGGGCAATTAGGCCGAAAGCCCAAGGACACGGACAAGGACCTCAGCCGGATACTGTAACTTCGACGGATACGAAGGACCAACGAGAACCCCGGACACTGGAGATGGGTATCGCGTATAATTTGTGAAAATTGATGATTTGTTTAGATTTACGAATGAGCGAACAAAATGGGCCAAATTGGCACGTAGCAAGGCCAAAAGGAAATCCGAACAAAGGAAGAAAGGTGTTGCCATGCCTTTTCCCCGATTTCACCAAGGAAGGCTTCAAGGTGCTCGCTAATTGATTCGATATAGATAAATGACCTCGGAGAACGAGGGGCTGGCAGTAGATGGCGCCAGATAATGATTAACGAGCATTTTCTATGGGCCTTTAGGGACAGCTTTTCTCCCAGCATTGCAATAGGCATACGTTCTCATTTCTCGCTATCCTTGGTAAGGCCTAGTAAATTCCAATGGCCACCAGAAATTTGAATCCCGTTTGCGGCCATAAGCCCTAATTACTTGTTGATCATAAATTATTGCTTAGTAAAAGGAGAGCCTGTGGAAACCATTTCCCTGACTGCTGATTAAATAACTGAATTAGGAAGCGGGGTGTCTGCGTTGCTCATCAACTAGTACTTAAGATGGACAAGAATAAATGATTGTTGATTTGTGGAGATGTCATCATAATTTTCGAAATGAAACAGGAAATACATTCAAAATATATATAATATATAAAAATATATTGGTTGGAGATACCATAATGAGTAGAATCTTTATGTTTTATGATAATATTAATGGGAGAACATTTGGCAATAATATCTAATATTGTTTAATATATAAAATTGTGTTGACTTTGATTAAATTATTTACAGTTTCATTTCTGAAGCTAATTAGTAAAAATAAAATTTTGAACATAAATAAATTTTTGGGAAAACATCAGATAAGATATGACATGTAATACCTGAAGTGCGCCAAGATAAACCACTGGATGAAACGTGTAAAAATCACGTTCGACATTCTATTTTTGTACAGACAAATTATCGCCATTGTTGGGGCAATTCCCTTAGATTCCCCACTCGTCCACAAAGTAATCGATCCTAAGTGTGCCCCGAAACAATTAAGATCGAATGAATGAGTCTACGTAAGACCGCGAAAAATCCGCACACTTCGGCCCTCTTCGTAAATAGATAAGGCCAATATAATATTGTTCTGAAAGAGATAAAGGCCAGAATGGCGAGATTCCGTATTTATTAACTATTTTTCATTAATTTGCGCGATATGGCCGGAGACTATTTAAAGACAAACCAGGAGTCTTTAGGCAGTTAAAAGTGAAATGAAGTTCGTTGGATTCTCATTGTTGGTGGTTGGCCTTCTGGTGGCTCCCGCTGCCTGGGCTCGTGTCCCCTATCCGGAGGTGGAGATCCCACCAATGGTCCCGGAGGATGGGATCTTCGAAAGGATTGCTGTTGCGCCTCCCCAACCTGTGGGTCGCGCTGGAGGTAAGTATCAGTAAAGAGATTATATTAAGTTGTGTTGCATTTAATTTTTATTGCATTTTAATTGAATTTTCATCTTGTGAAAATAAATGTAAATGTAGTAAAAATACACTTATTTATATTATATTTCTTGATGTAGTCTAATGGAGCTAAACAAAGACACATTTGTTTAGAGTAAACAATATTTAGTACTTTTTGAAAAATGATAAAAAAAAACTCTCTCTTATAGCCTGCAGTGTAACCATCCGTGGAGGATTGCCCAGCCCCCAGCCCATCTATCTGAAAACCGACTCCGAGGACTTCTATCCCTTCTCCGACGTGGGTGTGATGGAATTCGATTCGGGAAGCACACTGCAGCTATGGTGTCCCTCTGGATTCAACACCCATTCTGAGAACTTGCTTACCGCCAAGTGTGTGAGTGGAACCACTTTCACCGTTGATGGAACTCAGTTTGAGTTCAAGGACCTCTACTGCAAGTCCTGGCCTGGATTCAAGGCTGTTAAGTCTGGAGCCACCTGCAACGGTGGTATTGTGATCCGTGTTGGATTCGAGATCACCTCTTCGAGGTTTGCCGAGCAGATGCAGATTTGCTTCAACGAAGAGGAGGAGGTGACCCGTTACACTCGTCACATTCTGGAACCTGGCAGCAACTACTATGAGACTGGAGTGGCCAGGATCACCTTCCAAACGGCTGGTTTCTTTGATGGAAAGAATGTAGACAAGCTGTACACCCAGGCCACTCAGTTGGAGACCATCAACAACGAACTGGGCGGAGATGCGGAGAAGTACTTCGATAGTGCCACCAACGTTTATCTGGCCCGTGGTCACCTGGGAGCCAAGGCTGATTTCGATTATGCTCCCGAGCAGAGAGCAACCTTCCTGTTCATCAATGCCGCTCCCCAGTGGCAGACCTTCAACGCAGGCAACTGGGCACGTGTTGAGGATGGTCTCAGGGCTTGGGTTTCCAAGAACAAGTTGAATGTGAACTGCTACACCGGTGTCTACGGTGTGACTACCCTGCCCAACAAGCAGGGTGTGGAGACTCCTCTCTATCTGGCCAAGGATGGAAACAACAATGGACTGATCCCTGTGCCCAAGCTCTACTTCCGAGTGGTCATCGAACCCAGCAGCCACAAGGGTATTGTCTTTGTGGGCGTCAACAACCCCCATCTTACCGAGGAGCAGATCAAGCGCGACTACGTTATCTGCAACGATGTGAGTGATCAGGTTACCTACATCAACTGGAAGACCACTGACATCAAGGCTGGATGGTCCTACGCCTGTGAGGTGGCCGATTTCCTGAAGACCGTTAAGCATTTGCCCGCTCTGACCGCCAAGGGAGGTCTCCTCGTTTAATTGGTGATCAAATAAAATCCACAACTGTTCAGAATTTTATTTTCCACGATTATGCCTATAATGGTAGTTAAAAGATAATTTAGAGTATATACTAAGCGATTCCCTTCATTTTTGTGCATAATGTTTGTGATCCAGTCCATATGTACATAGACGTTAGTATAGACCGAAGGTAATGTAGTGGATCCGCATCCGATTCGATAGCTCACCAATCCAAAGACTGTATCGTTGAGGATTAGGGGACTTCCGGTGTCACCGGCACACGGATTCTCATCGAGGCTGTTGTTAAGGTTTCCGGCACACATCATTTCTCCCATAAATGTGTGAAGTATCTTATGACAGGTCTTCCAGGGCAATAGCTCCACGTCGATGTGCAGGATGTTGGAGGCCATGGGACCGCCCTGAATGTATTATAGATTAATCATTTACAAAGATAAAGCTTACACTCACTTTAAAGACCCTTCCCCAGCCCAAAACCGTGTAGTTAATGCCTGGTTTGGGATTGGCCGTGGGCAAACTGATCACACCCACATGCGGGTTATCTGAAGGCAGTTTCTTGGCCAGCAACATCAGCGCAATGTTATTCGTGTTGTATACTGTAAATTTCTCCGGAACGAATATCTTCTTCACTTTCATATGTTTTGTGATGCCCTCCCGGTGCTTCAAACGATTCACTGTTCCAGCCACAACGATCAAAACTCGACTTCGATGCAAGATCTTCCGCTGGCTTTGAGATCGGTTACAAAAAAGGAAACACCAATATTAAGAGCGTCCTATACCTACTCCATGGCGCAGTGTGCGGCGGTTAGGATGAAGGTTTCCGAAATGATCACCCCTGCGCAGAAGTGATTGTCCCCAAAATATTTGTGAACTGATCGAGACCGAATGGAGACCACATATTTGGCCAGCCTCAGAGTTTTCTCCTTCTCGAAATAGGGACTTGACAGGCGTTTAACCCTTCTGTGGATATAGGGGCTCTCGATCGGACTACCAGCATCATGGGACGGCAGGAGCAACAAGAGGAATAGTATAAACAATTTTCCAGATTCAGTATATTTCACTAGTAACATTAGAGTAATTCTAAATAGTTTGACGGCTAAAACTTTCATTATATCTTTATCTTTTTTCTATTTTAAATTGAATCATTAAAAACCATTAAAAACCAAATTGTTGATGATATTTTAAAGTAATAATTGTTTCGCAACCTACGCAGGTTCGTAAATCAAATCAAAGTGTACGTTTTATAGGGTATTTATTAATTTATTATTTTTTGTAGGAAACTTAGACCAACAATCCGCTTACCGAGAACTGGGGCAGGTGGTCAACCTTCTTGCGGAACTCTGCGACCTCGCAGGCGTATGAGTAACCAGCGGTGATGTCCGTCTTCTTCCAGCTGATCCAGTTAATCCTATCACTGACATCCGTGCAGAGGATGTAGTCTCGCTTAATCTCCTCCAGACTCAAATGCGGGTTGTTGACGCCGATCAGAACGATACCCTTCTTGGTGGATGGTTCAATGACCACTCGGAAGTACAGCTTGGGCACTGGGATCAGTCCATTGCCATTGCTATCATGCGACAGATATAGCTGTCTCTGTTCCCCATGTTTGTTGGGCAAAGTGGTCACTCCCCAGACTCCCGTCCAGCATTCCACGTGCTTGTTTTCCTTGGCCACCCAGGCACGAACTCCATCCTCAACACGAGCCCAGTTACCAGCATTAAAGGTCTGCCATTGAGGAGCAGCGTTAATGAACAGGAAAGTGGCTCTTTGCTCAGGGGCAAAGACGAAGTCAGCCTTAGCACCCATATGGCCACGAGCCAGAAAGATATTCTTCGCCGAATCAAAATATTTAGCCGAGTCCATGTCCAATTCCTTATCGATGGTCTCTTTTTGAACCGCCTGGGTGTAAAGCTTGTCCACATTTTTACCCGCAAAGTAACCTCCAGCACCGAAGGTAATACGATCCACTCCAGTAGCATAGTAGTTGTTGCCCGGCTCAAGACGATGGTAGACATACCTGGTCACCTCCTCGTCCTCGTTAAAGCACACCTCATACTGCGTGGCGAATCGAGAACCAGAGAGCTCGAAGCCAACCTTGATCAGAGTGGTGCCACCGTTGCAGCTGGATCCCGACTTTTTGCCCACAAAAGCTGGCCAGGATGTGCACTTGATGGCGGACAAATCGTGCTCCTTATCGTCAATCTTGAACGTGGTTCCCCCCACACACTTGGCAGTAACAGATTTGCCAGACAGAGGAGAAGCCAAGCTGCTGGTGCAGTGGAACTCAATGGTCTTGTCCTTATCCACATCCACATAGCCGCTGTCCGAGAAGCCAACGATTTCAGAAGTTCCCGACTTGATCAGCAAGGGCTGGGGGTCCTTCAGCTCAGAGCTGCGGATCTTAATGGAACAACCAGCTAGAAATGGGAATAGGTTTTTCTTATATCGATCTTGAACTTAATTAGGTAGTTCGGAATGGGAAATTTATGGTTTTTAAACAGAAACTAACAATCATTACTATACAATAGTATTAATTATATCACTTTTTTAAGATTTGTCAACTCACCTTCTCTGGTTTCAATAACGTTTACCACTTCCGGGACTTCCGGCAACTCCCAAAGCAGATCCTCCTTAGGCAGGATTCTGGCCTGGGCACCGGCCAAGAAGAGACCGCTCAAGGCAATCAACACTAGTCCCTTCATGTTTCGCAACTGTTTCGGCCCCCTGGAAGACCGGGTGCTTTTAAACCAACTAGCCGCCAGATGTTTGATTAGATTTTCCTGATTGCGGCCGTGTTTGCGGGTTGATATCGGCACTTGTTGATGCTTTGATTGCTTCACGTGTCCCCAGATTCGGGTGCTTCTTTCCCACCGTTGGCATTATCAATTAATTAGTTTTGGCCCCCGTTATTAGGCATATTGCCGAGTGTGGGCCAAATTAAATACTTGTGATTCGGCTAGAGCTTCCTGCCCCTTCACGTGACCAGCACGTTTGCTTATCGCGCAATAATTTATGTTGGACTTTTTCACAAATATCAAGTTTTTATTATTGGTTTATCGTAAGGTATACATCAACTCACATTTATTGGTTAGTTTTAAACTGGCTGTCTAGTGTTCTTTTTTTGGCGCAACTGTACTTATGAATACTTACTATATATACAACATTTATAGATATGGTTTATTTCGCTTATTTCGTGTACGTCACCGACATCAACTCGAGATAGCAGGAAGTATTTACAAAGTAATTTCCTCAGCACTTCATAGTCATTTAAATCTTTTCTTGGTTAACTTTTTTTGTTTTAAATTGTATTTTTATTGTTTCTGTTACTTTTGTTTGGGCTTTTTATTTGTTTCTTTGTTTTGGATAGACATGCGATTTATATCTTGCAATTAATTTAAAGCTTTTATTTGGTTTTGCAATAAAGTATTTTTTATCTGTTAACTTAGGTTTGGAGAATATTTATCTGTTAAATAAAAACTTTTCTGTCTCTTGGAGATCTTTTTAATCTGCTATGGACTGCTTATCTCTTTGGCTAGAAAATGTACTTTTAATATTTTTACACATTTAGAGTTACTGCTATTATTGTTCTTATTATTACTGACATTTCTGCTAACTTTGACCTTTTTTTTCAAGTATTTACATTAAGTGTTTTACATTTTGTGGCTGCCCTTATGTAAGCTGAATAGGAGGACTTTAAAGTTGTTTTTTCCTAAGAGAGTTTTACCAAAGTTCTCTAACGGAAGTTTTATTAACTGCTGAAATTTGATTTCACAGAAATCTCTCAAACCTTCCTATAAAAATGTTGTAATAAAATAAAGAGTTATAGAAAATAAAAATTTGAAGAAGTATGATGAAGTTTATGATGTTTAGCAGAAAAGGTTAAACTATATAAAAGGACTAAAAAACAAACTCTAAATGATCAATCCAAAGAATCGAATATTTCTTAAATTTTTTCATATGGTCAAGTGTTGTAATAGTATTTGAGTTGCGATATGAGTCATATTGATAAGCTATTGTAAAAGCATTAGCTAAAGTCAAAACGGATTTGCATTTATGTTTTTTATGGTTCTAATTTATTTACATTTAAAGCTGTAATCTCTGCTGGCAATTGTTGAGTATACTTTCATTTTAGCTGATCAAATTTTAATAAAAACAATATGATCTGGTCTTGGAAGAACCATTTATATTTCAGAGGAAACGGTGTTGGGATCTACAGGAATATGGCGATCTGTGCGTATATCTCCACGGCCACCAGAAGGCCCATTATGGATAGATTTACAGCGCAGTAGACGCGTCGCAGTGGACGTTGACGCTGACCACAACATTGACCACTGAAGCGGGCGCTCTTCGTCCACCCACGTTCCAGATACTGGCCCTCGTCAGGATCGCCGTCGTCATCGGTCTCGCTTCCGCTTCCGTTGCTTCTGTTGTCACTGCTGCAGTCGCAGTCGCTGTTATGGCACTTTCCCCGGTTATTTGCACAGTTGGTTCTATCACTTCCGGCTGGCCCAATGGCTGCATTTCCATTTCCGGTTCCCGATTTGCATGGCGGCCAATGTCAAACCGACGCCAGCGACGAACTGCTGTCATAGGCCACCAAAAGTGAATCATTCTCATCGCTACCGCTCCCCGCACTTTTCTCCGATTCGTTGATGACCTCCAGTTGCGTTTGAGGCCGAGCAATTTTGTACTTGTTGTGCCGCTTGTTGATCAGCACGCTGCGAATGTTGTTGTTGGTGCGGCGGCTTCCGCTGCGCTGACCCTTCACCTTAACCACAGCGGATCTTGGCTTGGATCGCGACCTGGCTGCCTTAGCTGCCCCCAACATACTGCAGTCGGCATCATCCTGCTGCAGTCCCAGTTGCTGCTGCTCCGCCAGCTCGTCATCATCGTAGTAATCGTAATAGTCGTCGTAATCGTAGCCAACTTCATCCTCCGTATCCAGGCCATCGCCATAGGCCACCTCATCGTCGTCATCATCGTTATCATCGTCGTACTCAAAATCGAAATCGAATATGGCGCAGCATCCGCCGGAAGACGCCTCGATGCTATGGCGACGCCTTGACCGCTTGCTGTAAGAGTATGAGTGCGGCTTGTTCGTACTAACACTCTTGTACATTGGCGCAAAAATGGCGGTCTTGGCCTGAGAAATTGGGAGGATATCGAATGAATAAGATGGGACATTAACACGAGCTATTAGTAAGATTAATACTCTTATTAATTAGTGAAAATGTTAATTAAAAGAAAGATAAATAAATAATAATCGTTAATAGATTACATTTAGTTAAAGATTTTGTGTGAGAAAGAAAATCATACATTTTAGATGCCACACATAAGCTCTGCATTAATTAAAATGCGGACACCTACGTAGGTTGTTTGATTATGTCTTATATAATTCGAAACTGTGGGTTAAGATTTATGATTTTTATATTCGTAAAACCATTTTTATTGCTGCCAGGTAATGGTAGCGGGCAATTACTGGCTAAATAGTATGTGAATCTTATTCGTTATACGGAAACCGAGCTAGTTTATTTTAACTTTAAGACTCTAAAATGTCTTAACGCTCAATAAAATAACTACCCTTTAAACTTCTTTTTTTCCATTTAAATTGCTCATTTTTATTGCTTATTTAAAGTGCAAAATCTTGAATAACATCTAATTTTTTATTTTAATACCGCAGAACATTTTTACTAATGGTATTTAGATGAAGAATTCCTTTTCCTAAGTTTTTTGATTTTTTCATTTATATTTTGAATTATGTACTTACCTCTGGTCCCCGCCATGTAATTCCAGAGCGAACCAAATTGTAGAAGCGCAGCACTCCCCACATGGCCAGCACCTGTTCGAATGGGAAGGGAAAAATTGGGTATCATAAATATCCATTAGATAAAATCGCACTTCGTAGTTACATTCGCACACATTCACACAAGCTAAGGGAGTTTTTTTCCCAGAAGTACATGAGCTAACATTTTTATGCTGCGTAAATGGACTAATGGACTTAGCTGGTAATTAAATTATTTATTACATCTATTGATTAAGCCCTGGGTGGGATGTGCGCAAAAGCAATTAGGCCCAATTGTTGTTGACTGATGAGTAAGCCAATTCAGATGGTAAGTTTTAGCCTATTTTGGATGCACGCAGCCCTGCTTTGTGAATTTGCTCAAATTGTGACACGAGGTAAAATATTTTTTAAATTTCGTGTGGATAACAGTTTTATCACTTCATTTTACAGGACCAGCTCTTGCATAGCGCGATTTACGAAATGTTCAGATTGATACCATTTAAAAATCACCTTTGTTATTATGGAAATGGCTATGATGTGATTGCAGACGCCTGTCGAGACAAAAGATCCTTCTTAAGCTTTCTGGAGTCTAGGCAATGGAGAAGTTTAAGGCGCATCCCATCTAACTTTTTCAATTGCGACATATCGACCTATCCCATATATTATTGGTTCGTCCTAATATTTAGTCTATATGGAACGGTAGGCTATGCAATTTCAGAAATAAGATTAATTGCTTATTTAACTGTTTTCTTAGCTCCAAGGTCTCATCCGTTTCTCACGTGTGTTGTTCACCCAGGAGGTGCCTATCAAGTGGGAAGACCTTCGATTTTACGTAATGACTCCTAGAGTCATCAAAAGATTCAGGATATTGAACGCCTTTATAAATATTAATATCTGGGCGATACTATTTTACGCTGCTATATATGTAAGTGTCTATATATGTGAATGTAATAGATTTCCCTAATAACTAGAGAAGTTTACATTAAGCTGCCTAAAAGTATGCAATGCACATATTCAAACATCATCCCTCGGGGAAATGCAGTATTTGTCCACAGTTTACTTTAAGTGACCTATTTTAATCCAATTCTAAGAGTTTCTAAAGTACTTGCTTATTTATAATATTTCTATGAACTTAGGTGTCTCCCAGTCACATGTCACCCTGGTTGTGGGCTCAAATGCTGATATTCGCTTCGAAACTGGCAGCGGCCACGATGAATACTCTTTCGGTTCGCCATAAAGGTCAAGGAATTCGGACGACAATTTATCTGATTGTATACATGCTGGCCATCTGGTTTGTTTATCAGGCCAGGAGGTCGTTTATTATAGCCCTAAAACAGGAGACTCCAGAAAAGCTAATGCTTTCTTTGACATTCATACAGCGGTTATCAAATTTTGCAAAATAACTTTGTAATGTAACAATAAAAATTGTTAAAATCAGATAGATGCTTATTTAATGAACTCTACTAACTGTAATTTAGTACAATAATATTTATTAAACTTACATTTATCAGGGCTCGAGCAACAAAGAAAGCCACCTCTGCTTTGCACATGGCATCAAATTGCTGAAAGTAGAAGGTTAGGAAATTTAGTGGATTTATTTAATTATAAATTACTTTTTCACGACTAGTTGGCCCGTAAAAGTCAAACAAACAACTAAAAATAACTTTGCGAAAATTGCTAACTGCCTTCTGTTTTTGAATGCAATTTGCAAGGGTGAAGGAAAAGTTTCAGCGTGAAAATTGAAAGTTTTACTAAGCACAGAAGCGAATCAAATTATTTCGAGCGGTTTAGTAAGTTCCATAAATGAAGTCTTAAAATTTCGTTGGAAGCCCTGCAGTGGTAAACCACCTGGAAGTACTTTAATTGCTAAAATATGATCTAGTTTTAAGGGAAGCTTTAAATAATTTGAGTTATATTTGTCTGGCGTATGTGAATTCAAATCCTAAATTGAAAACATGAATCTTCTGCGCAAATCATTTGGAAATTTTGCACAGAAAAACTTTAAACAACAAATTAGTAAAGCCTCAAACAATAACGCAAAAGTTTGTGATGCCAAAACAGAGGAAAATGAATTTTTACCTTCTGGATTGCAATAAATTATGCATGAGGTGAAAATTTTACGGGAGAAAAAACTTTCCGTGTCCCCTGGCTAGGCGAAAAAACAAACGAAACGAAAAGCGTAGAAAAGCAGAACACGTTTCGTAATAGAAAAAGCCGAACAACAAGAACAAATACCGTGCGACACAGACAAATGTAAAATACTAAAGGAAAATGGTGCAGAAAAATGCCCAACTCATTGCATATGTGTAGATGGAATAGATCCACATAGCTACACCGACGTAGATACGTTTGTGTCTGTGTTTGGGTGCCGCCAGTCTTTGAGTTTTCCGATCCCCTCCTACTCAGCTTTCCCGGCAAGCCTCCACCTCCCATCGCCCTTTGTGGCGCTTTGACTTTGTCGCTTGTTTTAAGTGCGAGTGTGTAGTGGGCTCTTGTCCGTCTGTTTGACTCTGAATTTTTATGTGTGGGGTTTTCTCCCTTTCCCTTTTTTCACCCGGGCTTTGTGCGCTTCATTTGTTTTAAGGAGGCACTTTGGTTTCGGCAGGATTACGTTAAAAAATTAGTTAGAATGTTTAAGGAAGTACCTAAAGGTCTTATGGGTAAATAAGGAAACAAAGTTTTAGCTTAAAAACAATCACTTGAAATAAACCCAAAGATCATGTAAATGTGATGTATAGTATAAAGAAACCGGACATTAATCTAAAATTTATAAAGGAAATTTTAAAAAATATAATATCTGAAATAATATCCAGAAAAACACATTGTATAAGCTTATGATAAAATATATTTTAAATGTCCTTTGATATCATTTTGCCAATGTTAATTTTAATTTGAAAACATCAATTATACAAAATAAATACATTTAAAGAAGAATATATCAAAGCAAATAAGAGGTACTACAAAGTTAAAAAAAAGACAATAATAATCCATTTAACTTATAAAATTAATAATGTTAATCATAAATATTCTAGATATAGCAAAAATGTAGCCAAATACTATGAAAAGGATGTAAGAACTTGTATTTAAATTATTTATAAATTAAAATACATCCCCAAGGCTGGAACAAGTTTTGACTTTTAATCAAGCGTTTTTGTTTTCTATTTGCCCTAAATCGAACATCTGTGGCTTTCTGTCTATCCTTCTCCGTCTCCGTCTCCGCCTCCGTTTCCGTTTCCGGTTTCTGGGTCCCCTTTTGCCCCCTTTCTATTCAGAGCCTGTTGCACATGGGAATGTGTTTACATTTACTACTTGGCAACTTCAGTCAATGTTCTTGCCGGCAATGCATTCAACTGTCGCCAACTTCCGACCATAACCCACAGCCACTAGGAGTTCTCTTTTGTTTGATTTTAGCATAAAGGAAGCCACCAACTTTTTACATATGTAACGGATTCGGTTTGATTTGTTGTCGTTGAAGGTTTTTTGTAATTTATTTGTTTGCCTCTGCTGCTGCCCCTGCTGATGCCCATTGATTTATGCCAGGCGCCGAGCAGCGGCGCAATTGATAGTCTGCTTATGCAACCAGGACCTCCCGATGGGGCTGAGTCCTTTGTGTGAGATGTTTTTCATTAAACAAATGGTTGCCACAGCAGATCGAAGGGAAACCGTCTTCAATATGCATTAAAACATTTCACCCTGCCCTCCCCCGAGAACTCAATGGAACACTCACTCACCTTATTTACATGATCGCGCAGAACATTCGAGTATACCATGGCGACAGCTTCCAGGGCCATAAATGTTATATAGCCAATTATCCAGGGTACAATTAGTCCGGGGTTCTCCTATGGAAGGACATAAAAACACAAAAACAACCTTGAATATATTGCCATTAGAAAGTAAAGCGAAAAGGGCCACCGAAAACCAGTACCTGTACCTGTATAGAATTGAAGCTATTGATTTCATGGTTATACTATAAAATATGGCTGAGTTGTGGGTGCTAAACAGAGTGAGTGCGGTGTAATTTATCTCGCCATGGTGGTAAAACCTCTGATTGGATTTTTTTGGGGCTTTTTTCTATGTGCTAAAAATTTGTGCTGAGCACGTTGGGAATTTGTGATGTGCAGCTGACAGTTTTTGGCCACAACGTTTTGCATGGCAATTTTGTGTTTGGCCATAGAAAATGTATTTTGTCAGCGGATTACATTTTAATATGTCCTGTAATGTTTGCCTAATTTATGAAAATATCTGTAATCCCAAAATGAACATTTTAGTTAAGTAAGTTTAGAAAAGGAAAATGATTAAATGAGTAGAACTATGGTTTCATTGAATGTCATAGACAATAAAAGGGATTATAACTTTATAATTTTTCTAATATAATGATGTGAAAGTAAAAGTCTATATAATAACTAATGCATGTATATGTGTGCTTAAAAATGTGGACCATTTTGGTTCCTTTTAACTTACTTAAAGTTCTTTAAAGCAATTTGCTAAGTCCATTAACTGGACAACCGACATAGCAAACTGCGTTCACACTAACAAAACAGCTCTTTAAAATACGAAAATCCTAGAAAGTAATAGCATTCAAGTCCATTATCCTTTTTACATTTCATTACACAATTTATTTCCCAATTATTTGGCTTTAATGTTTGCGCTTCAGAAACAATGCCGTAAGAGCTTATAAGGAAAACAATGGAATGTTTATCTATTATAGAAGCCATCAACCTCAATTTGGGCACTAACTTTTGCTTGTTGCCCTTCACATTTGTTGTCCAAATACTCGTTTAGCCTAATTAAGAACCAATGCCCTATGCATTATTTAATGGCCATCAGCTGCGGACTCTCAAGGACGAGAAGGATATGACGCCTATTAGCGCACTGCACTTAATTTGACCATTAAACTTGGTAACATTTTCATTTACATTCGACGGCGTTTTCGGCAATGGCATTCGTTTTGAGGGGTCTTCGGCGTTTCTATTTTGTCTGTCAGAGTCAAAATTAAAAAATTCCACAATATGTGGCTCTGGCAATGGCTCAGCAGCAAAACCCCGAACTGAATTCCGGCCATGCAATCCCCGTCAAATGTCCTGGCAGCTCAGTTCCAGTTGAGTCAGTCACACATCATCCCAGTCCTTTGCCAATTGTGTGACAAATTGTTCGCATTTTCATGCCGCTGTCAATAGCAATGTTGGGTTTTTTCCCGGTTTGGGTGGGTTTTTCGTACGATATGTTTTAGAGTTGGTCGCAGATGCAAAGGGGCTTAAGTATTTGTTTCTGAATATTTCACACTAAATATTGTATCTCAGTTTATTAACAAGTTTTATCTTTTTTTGTTCAGTTAAAGTTCAAAAAGTTTGTTTTCTTTTTTATGTTTTGATTTGTAGCAATTAATATAACAAAGATCGAAGATCCCAGGACCAATCTTAATGTTTCGTTTATTAAAAAAAAAGAACTTATAAGAACTTACTTTCTTATATATGAAACAACCTAATTTTTAAATTTATTGAATATTAATATTTCCTACTGCTTAATATGTAATTAATTAATAAGTTTTTGTATTTATCAGGTTTATATTTCAGAAAGGAAATCGTTTACAAATTGTCAAGCAAAAGTGGTAAAAATTTGTTAAGTTACAATTTCCAGCATGTTTCCTTTTCAAATTTTCGTAGTGCATAATTTGGCTGCCGGCACGACACGTGTAACATTTCGCACTCGAAAAAGAATCATATTAGGATTCTGAGAAGGCAGCCAGGCGGTATGAACGCTTTGTGCAATTTACATTTGAATGTGCTTTGTTTGCTGGGTAAACATTTCCTGGCACAGAGGCTCAGGCACAATGCGCATAATTTGCGGATATTTGACTTTGAATCGTTCGATTTGTGGACGGAATGTGTGTGAGCGTGTGCTGAGTTGGGTTTAAGGTGGGCTAACAATCCGCTTAGTATTGTAAAATGATGAAAGCTTTTAATCAAACAAGAAAACTCACCCGGCATATTCCAAATATTAACACAATGCTCAGCAATATCATGGACATTTGTGTGCCGATTATGGCAAAATATGCTATTTGTACACCTGCAATGCATAAATAAAAATCAAGATTAAAACGAATTTTAGTAAATACAAATCATGGCAATAAAACTTTTATAAATCTATCCAAATACTCTGATTGAGATTTATAATCAAAGAAGCTACAATATCCATAAACAATTTAACACTAAATGAACACAAGAATGAAATATCTCCCATTTAAATTTGATCTCATTAATCAAAAATAAAGTGTTCAGCTTCTGCTTAACTCATATTTCATAAATATGGATGCCACCCAATTTGGTTCCTTTGTGGGTGACTTGCCTCCGTTCTCATCTACATTTAATTTATTTATTAAAATGGCTTTATTTATTATGTGGCTGCTTGTCGTTTCAGTTTTCAGTTTTCGGCTTTATTGCCGCTTTGGGCTTTGGCCCAAGCGAGCTGCTGTGTGCTTAATTATCAGACTTGTCAGACTTAACTGAACTTTGAACTTACCGTAGTAGACATCCTGCAGATCGGCCGACTTGTGCATATTGACATTGATGCGCCACGAGTATATCAAAACGATTAGAAGGGATATATTCTAAAAGAGCCATAGAACAAAATACCAAATACAGAATGAGTCACAAGAGATATGGGAAATGTGTTTTTTGGCGAACATAACACGCATATGCAGTGCGCACCCGCATATAAAATGGTTCATGGGTCATCAAAATCTACCCTCATGTTTCTCTCTTATCCCACCCACTTTAACCCCTTTTGAAATCCAACTCATTCTCCATACTTTTTGCACAACACGTTTTTACTTTTAAACGGGTCTGAACCCAATTTGATTTTAGGGTCTGAGGTGTTGGCTCGGGTTTTTTGCTAATTAATCCGTGAAAATGTTTTCGTGTCGGTTGTGTCTCTACTGTAAGGGGAAAAGGTAATAAGTTCTGGGAATTTTATTCTTATTTAACCAGGCATTTCACGACTTTTCGAATTTAGGGAAGACCCAAAAGGTTGTTAATGTTTAATAGGAAAGTTTGAGGATTGGATTTGGTGAATTAAATTATTTGGATACTAAAATGTATTTAGTATCAAAATCGCTTTAAAAGCTTTTAATATACATACACGTTGATATCAGAGGTTTGCTTTTAATCTAGTTCTTCATATATTTCTTCTAAAATATTTTAAATTTTATATACAATCGGAAAAATTAATAGGATCTACTAACTTCTTTCAGCTTAGATGTATACTATTAACTAGAGAATATGTTTCAGGATTAGTATCAACGAAAGGTGAAATTTAATCCCCAAAACCTCTAAGGTAATAATGACAAATTAGTATACAATAGTCTAATATATAAATATATAGAGATTTTAATTTAAAAGGTTATTTTTATTCCTCTTAAATGTTACTTGTTAAAGCTTCGTAGAAGTTCTATAATAATGAGAAACCAATTTCCAGAACCAATATGGCCTGAGGGCGTTGCACGAGGTTCAGTAAATAAGCAACGAGGACTATGATAAACAAATGCAAAATGGCGTGCTTTTAGGAAACATCCATTATGTGTCGTGACTGCACTCCCAGAAGTAACCACCTCACCTTACCTCTCCCACCCTTCCTTGCGAGCCCTTAATGCCGGCTTATGCTAAACACGTAACGTTTACTTGGAAGGGAAGTACGGGGCTACCGGGGAAATCTCTCTCTTGTTACGTCCGAGGTTGTGCTCGTAACTGCCATAAAATGCAGCACTAATTGCAGAAGCCAAACACTTAAGTTCTCTCCTTAAACAAAAACTAATTTACTCGCCACGAGTTGGTAACTGGCATTGCAACGGGTATAATATGTCTATTGTTTGCCGCCAAGTTGCATTGCATTGTATTGCTTGTAAATGTCTCCAGCTCTCTCTCTTGTCCTGACAAGAACTACGCAAAATAATATGAAAAAGCCCCGAGCACGATTTGGCCATTAACATAAATTAAAAGCCATAACGAGCATCATGTAATTGTAATTTATACATGCCACAAGTCAAGAGATGAGAGAATCCTCTGCAAGTTTCTCCCGTTTTGTCTACCCATTTGGCTGGGGCTCGCTAGGGTCGAGATATTATTATTTCGCACCAAAGAGGGCTGATTAAGACAGAGTCCTGAAGGTTATTGCTTAATCTACTTTGGGTATATTTGACTTGATTTGGACAGTTTATAGTGAACTAAATAAGCCAAAATTTAAGAATTTATCAAACTAGTTTAGCCTTTCTGAGATTGATTTAAAAACTATAAAACAAACACATATGTTAAAATTGCATTAATTTAGCAAAGCTAAACTCAAAATCAGCCACGATCAGAAGGCCCTGGTATTGCTTCTAGCCCAATGCTAGCTCTTAGTTTTAACTAATTGTTAGGTAAATGAATGTTAAATAAATGAGCTGACTTCGACTTCCTATGCAAAAATCTTCAAAAGAATAAGTTGGGGAAGGTAAGTTCAGCCATAAAATATAAAAATATTTCCTTGACATAATTTAAATCACTTGTTGATTGGCATTTAAATAAATCGATTATAAATAAGTCACCTTTCTTAAGTATAGCTTTTTGCACTTCTTACTAGGCCCAAACTCACAGAAAAACCCTCGCTGGAAAGGGTTATTTTCGCGGTTTGTTCCCCATCATCCCGGCCCTCCATAACTATAATGAGGCTGAGGTATGCCACGGCACATTCAGAATGGTTGCAGAAAAACTCTCGGCAACGACACTTGTATATTAATTATGCCACAATTAACAGGCGAATATAATAACAGCCGCAACTACTGATTTCGTGCTCCCGTTTTTATTCGTGGCTTTTTCTGTTTTCATACCTGGCATTTTCAGCTAACGAGAACCAAATTACATACTTGTACACATTGCGTATACGCCCAGTGGCCCGCCCAGAAGCATTTTCACATTCTCTCTGCCCCCCAAACACTTACAATTGTGTAAATTGCACTTGTTATGGCCAAATTTTTGGCATGCAACATGCGACAGCAACGAGTGCCGCCGGTTAGCGGTCCATATGGATATAGAATGACAGACTTCATTTTCTGCTACCTATTTTAAATATAATTTTTTTCTGGCGTTTTCCCTGGCTGTTCTTCCGCTCAGCAACGGCACGACAACTTTTGCAGTTTCGTTTTCATTACGTGGACATCGCGGGGATCATGTCGCTGATGAGGCTGGTTCCCTCGGGTTGGCTATTATTCTTGTTCCGGGGGCTTCCATTAAAAAGTAGTCCGCCTGAAAAAATACCAGATAAATTGAAAGCTTTAAAAGTCATTCGCATAAATTGAGTGAGTGCTGTTTCGGTATGTGGCAATTTTTATGCAGCTATTTATTCTCTTTTTCTCCCAAAATCAATCAATAGTTAACATTTTCCATACGCCACACAACATTGAGCATTTATTTTACTTTATTTTGGGACAATTTGTTCCGCTTGAATGGCTGTGGCTGTGTAAATATCTCATGATTGCATACCGACTTTGTGTTCGGATCTGGTACAAAAAGAGTGAATGTTGCTGACAAAAATCGCAGATTTACTCAAGCTCTTGTAAAAAGATTGCAACTGAAAAACATTTACTGAAAAAACTTTAAATTTAATGTATACATTCGTTAATTAAAAATGAATGAATGATAATACCCATATAAAAAATAAACATGTAGAATGTTGCAGAAGTAATTAACAGAGACATCTGTCTTCTGCTTTTGTTAAGTTTTTAAACGTATCATTCCGGGACAATTTGTACCTACCTACTTTCCTTTAATTTTGAACGGGAAAACTAACTTGTTGGTAGAAAAATTGTTTTTTTTTTGACTAAAATGAGATGGAAATGTTTATAGTTTTAATATTCATGAAAAAAACAATCCTGCCACAACAATTTGCAACATTTTTAATCTCAACGCATTAAAGTCAAGCCACCAAATCTTAAAGTCCAGAATGTGAGCATAGAAAGTGATGGTCTTCAAGCTCTTTGTTGGCTGAGTTACCCCAAACTACCCATCTGGAGCCAGACCAGATATTATAACCACTTTAAGGCAATCTTCTCAATCATCTCACTATCGATTTTTATGCATTTCCCCCGCTCAATCGCAGTACAATAGCACTTAAGTTGCCCGCTGCTCTATCTGGCAAAGTTTTTCAGCATTTGCAGCAAATGTTTTTCGTGTTTCGCCGGACTCGCGAGTGATTTTCCCCCACTTGTCCAATCAACTGACAGGCCAAACATGAGAAACTCAAGCCATTCGGGGCGCGTTTGGGTAATTAATGATGGGAAAAGAAAATTCACGCACTAAATTGCCACGGAATTGTCAGTTTTTTGACAAATATCACTTGATGGCCTGTCCGAAAACTTACTTAATCAACGCCAAACAAATCTCTAAGATGTTTTCAATTAGTAACTGCTTAACTAATTACAGACTAAGCCCACAACAGAAGAAGAACATGATTGATAGTGTGGCGTGAAGTGTATAAAATGGTAAGCATTGGCCCAACCCATTTTAATTGACCTCAGAAAAAGAATGGAAATTTTACTTTTGCCCGCATTTCACTGCGTGTAAACAGACTCATATTCACACATTTCAAAGGGCGGGCGGGGAAGGGAAGGACTGGCAAGGACACCGCTCTATAGAAACATGTAATGCTCTGGTGAGCATATTGAATGGATAGCACACACTCGCCCTGCCAGAAGTGTACCAACTAGAACTCATCCCATGGAAACAGAGTCCGCATTGTAAAATGTTTACAGTGTCATAAAATATCAGTAACAAATGTGGAACCAGAGGCACACAAACGTAGGCACACATAAATGTAAAAAAAGCCAAGGAAATAGGCCAACAGAAAAATTGTTGGCCAAATAACAATACAAGAACAATGCCAAGTGAAAACGCGTCCTTTGCATACCCTGCAGGTCATTGTAAAGGACCTTTGTTTGATATTTATATGTGAAAATGGCAAAGAATAAATCATCTTAGTGAGAGATTTTTCCAACAAAGAATAAATGATATTGTTTATATTGTTATATAATTGCTTTATAGGGAATCTCATTCAATATGTTGCCAATCAGACCTGCACTCATAATTTTTCTTTAATTGCTCTCCATTTATTTTATTTTCTTTTGTTAAAAAAATCAAGAAATTATGTTGCTTTTATAGAAGCTCCTGATATTGAATGATTTTTGACAAAATAAGTATAATAAAAATCTTATAAAAATCGTAAAAACTTAACCAGCTTTCAAATTTTTTTCTTAAAATTTACACTTTAAAACACTTTTACACTTTTTATTTACATAAAAATAAGGAAATGATTTTTGAACAAAAACAACGACAGCTGTCGACAAGAATGCCAACCAAGAATGGGGAGATATTAAATTCAGAAGGTGAGGTATATTCTTAAAAAAATATAAATAATTAGTTTTATTAATTTTGTCCGATATTTTATAAAATTTCTGCAAAGTAATGATATTCGACTAAGAGAAATCAAAGATTTTCGCGCAAAAGATTGATTTTGGCGTAAATATTATCGATGCGCTACCTTTTTAATTCTGTAAAACGTTTTAAGATATTATTAAACATTTTTTATTTCCTTAGGAACATGATTTCGCTTTTAAAGATAGCTACTTTTGTAGTTCGAATATTGCTGATATAATATACTCGTAAATTTCATGGGTTCATTAAAATACTTTCTCTTAAGTTTATTGCGCCATTCAATTATTACGTTTTTTTAATGCCATATTTTCACGGAACGCAGAGCAGCAGGGTATGCAGTTTAAAAGCTTTCTGAACTTTGCATTTGAAAGGCATTGGCTTGGAGTCAAGTGGGCCCGCATATTGCCAATATCAAGTACTTTTCATAACGGCGCCCCGAGGCATAAACCCCCGCGGCATCCTCTCCCAAAAAGGGGACACCACAATGAAAATCAATAAAAAATATCGCATTACTTTGGGCTTTGTTTCGGTGTTTTTTGCTTTGTTTGCCGCATTGTTTGTGTCGATATCGGCGTATGATTGATTTCGGGACACACGCAACGTCCTTCTAGGCACGAAAAGTGTTGCATAACTACAGGGGAACTATCAGAAAAAACAACAACACACACATTTCCAATTGCAGTGTGTGACAGCAGCTGTGACAGATTTGAAGGTTTTTGTGGTGGGGAAAAGCGCCCTACAACAACGCTAGCCAACAAATTCAATTCAATAAGCGCCTCACATCATATTTACCTTTTTTTTTTGTTAGCCCCTATTGGAAAAAGGAGAAGTTCTCGGTATTTTTGGAAAATCGGAATGACAAGGGGCATGGGTGGGGACATAAGCCTCTCAGGGGAGCCTATATGCATGGAAATGACTCTGCCGGTTTTTGGCTTCTCTCTAAGCGCATTACCATCTCCGTCTGTGTGGGCGGCTCGAGGGGTTTCATTTGGGGTTTTCGGTTTTGGGGCTGGCAAAGATATATTGCATTCGAGCCATATGCTGTTCATAAAATTGCAATAAATTAGGAATAATTGAGAGATTGTGTGACGTTAAATTTGTTTGCTCTTTGGCATTTTATTGTGTGCTAGTCACAGTGTTTTATATGTTTCCGATTCGCTGGACTTCTAGTACACGATTTTTTCAATGTTTATTTTAACTGATTAATATGTAGAATTATTTCTGTATTTTCTTTTTATTAGTTTATGTTCCCCACTGATTATTTGTGTTGGCAAATAAATGGTAAAAAAGGTAAATAAACTTGTTTTTTTTGCATTAATAGAAATGCAAATGCAATTTGTTAATACCAATATAGAAAAGATTTAAGAATACATAAATATAAACAAAATAAATTTCATTCAGAAACTTAATACCAGAGTACAAAAATATTCGCCATTTCATTCTCTAAGCCTCTTCAAATTTTATTTATAACCTCCCACATAGACAAACTCCTTTCCTGGTCAGGCCAGCGTGGTCAGAGGACTCCATTCCATATAATCTTTTGCCGTAAATCTCTGGTCATATATTTCCCAGTATCATATTTGGAAATGGAAGCTATACGCCCACCAAAAAGTTGGATGGTACAGTTAATTGCACATTGGGCCTGGGTTATGTTCAGATAATCGTCACATAAAGACGTTTCATTGTTGTTTGGGTTTTGGCAACAGCGGCAAATACGTGTCTAACACAACCGGAGGGGCAACTTGTAATGGGGACCTTACCACGGCAAAAATAACCCCCCAGGCCGGGGATAATATTTGCTTAACAAACATTAAAGTTGTTTTCGCCCTTTGTTTCATTTCTGTTTATTCGGCTAATTTATGCTACGCCTTATTGCTTACTTTGCCGTCACGCCATAATGTTACGACTTGGCCACAGCTTAGCTTTCTTAGCCCGAATGTTGTTTGGCTTGGTCTCCTTCGGTGTTGGGTGTGTGTGTACCACGGGGCGTATGATTGTTGATTTCCAAGGGCCCCTTTTGTCTTCTCGGGTGTTTGGCCAGCGTCGAGGACTCATTATGATTCATTGTTGCTAGCAGGAGTCAAAAGGTAGAAAGACTCAAAAGATTTATTAGCACCAAGGCCCATAATGAAGTTCTTTGGCTGAGTTAATGTTTCAGCATTTAGACATGCCGGCCATGTCAAAGGTTTTTAAGAAGGGGGAAATGGATGGAGCAAAGAAACAGAATGAATATCCTTTGCCTTTCTAATCCTGGCATGCAATGGAATTCCATGGCAAAGGATTTGTGTAGTCAATGGTACTGATTTTTAACCCGGGTTTTGTAAGAACTTTAGGAGTAATATTTACTCAACTAACGACCAATTATTTTGGTACACGAAAAGAAAAATGGTAAAAAGGAACATTCAAAAGTCATTGGCTAAGTAAGTTGATTGGGAATATAAGATAAAACTGATTTAAACAGTAAACGATCTCGGATAGAGATAAATTCGTCAACTTTATTTAGATTTTCTTAGCTCTTTTTAAACCCACTAATATAATTCTGTCTGTGTACTGAGATCCTTTCATTGTCGGCCTGAAATGAAAGTGTTCATTTATTGAGAAGCCTTCACTTTCCCTTCCCCTAGCAGACTTTCAATTTTCCATCCATTTTCCTGTCTCGTAATTGAAGTTTTCTGTTTGTTTTCCTTACTCCAGAGCTTTTTGCAAGAAACTGTCATGAGAGACCTTTTCCGCTGTCCTCCACAAAAGTTGATTATTACTTATAGACTTACGGACCCTGGGCTGTAATCACTGGACACAGTGGAAACTCTAGCTAA